GGGCTTTATGATTACGACTGAAATGAAGATTCTGGTCACTCTGTAATATCATGATTTTTACTGTTAGTGGATCGAGGAAGAAAATTTACTCTTGCATCTACATCCTCATTAATTTGCAAAGTTCTCAGTGATACAAGTTTATAGTTTCCTCAAAGAAACTAAAACTGCAGTGTTCGATGACAGAATATTGATTTTCCAGCCCTGCCAGTGTGCCCATTTGAGTTTACACGCTTTGGGTTTTAGTGCTCTGTTGTGCTTTTTATGTTCTGTTTTGATTAGATTTCTGATCCTTCAGTCCTTTATGCAGGATTGGCTGTTGCAGTGCACCCACATAGCCCGCCTCACTGACTGCATGTGTCCAGACATGGCAGATCTGCAAGAAGACACATGGAAAAAGTTAATTTTTGGGACAGTTAATCAATTTATTACCTTAAAAACTCTTTGACTACTTCTGCCTGAGCAAATTACCACAATTAAGACACTGTATGTTACGCTGAAGGGGGTTGTTTATCTGCCGGGAGGGAGGATGCATTCACTGGAGGTGATGTCGGGGATGGGAAGATTTCTGGGGCACTTTTGTTTCTATTTTGATATTTTTCTAAAACGGCGTGTTAAACTTTTTATAGCACATTTTAAGGTAACATTTAAAAGCAATATGTGAAACATGGAAGTGATACTGTATCTTAATTTGAACCTTGCTGACTTAATCCAAGTTGATTTCATCATCATCAGGCAGCTCTCCCACAACGGACAGAAACGACAGGGGTTATGTGGGTAAGGATTTTTAATCTGTTTATTTATGATAATGTAGGCATTGTATCATAAAATAAACGTGGCTGTTACCAGATATTTTTTCTTTTCTGAGCATCTTTTAAGGGCAGTGCCAGCATGTTTTAAACAATTTATCACAACACACAGATACATTACTACTAACCGTCTTTCCCAAGTAATCCATACTTTGTAGGGTTTTGGAAAAGTTTTCCATTGCTTTCCATTTATGTGAACATGGATGTGATTAAGAGTTTCAATTAACATTTTGTTAGCATGCTAATTTTCCTTCTATCCTCATGCCTCTGTACACCTGAATGTGTACACATCGTGACAGCTTTACCAGTTAAGTCCCTTCAGCACCCCGCTGTTCTCCCTGTAGGGGGTCTATAAGAAGCAACTCCTACAGAGGACACCTGTCCAGACTGGCAGCAGCTGCTGTGCCTAGTAAGGTAGAAACCCCCCTTTCCACCTTTGAATGAGAATTTTTTTGAAATCCACACAAGAGCACCAATTGTTACATGTTTCCATTTAAACATTGCTGTCTTGCAGTATAGTGAGTCCAGAGGTGTCTTTCGTCTGGTTAAAGAGCTGCTTCACTGCTTTATGTGAATGTGACAGATCCCCATGGGTTTTCCATCATACACTGAAATGCACATGGTTGTGGGACAGAGGAGTAGATTTCTGGGGGGAGAGGAACCTCCCCTCCACCCCTCACCCCAATAAAAACACTGATGAACTGCTAGATTGCAAATTATAGACACAACAGTCCCTCCACTAACATTGGTGGTGACAGTACCTTAAAAGCAATGGTTGCACTCTGCCATAGAGCTGAAATAAGATGAAGCAGCTCTGCACTATTAGGGCAGTAAGTATCATGACATTTCCACCATAAACTGATGCTTAAAATTGGGGCATAAGAAATTAACCGGAATACAAGAAATGAACTGTTTGATGCTTAAAATGTCTTGGGGGAGAACCCTCAGACCCCCCACTTAATATCTGTCTCCACCCAAATGTTGAAAAGAAAATGCCCTTCGCTGTGGTCTTCCTCTGAGCAAATACCTGAATGCTGCAAAGTGGCCTCACACAGGGTCCTACAGCATGATTGTTTGTGGAAGAGGCAAATGTAGGCTTTGCATATTTAACACCATAAAATTACAATGTTATCTGTGTCCTTTGTCATTCAGGACAGCCTCTAAAATTCTACCTAGATCATGGGACACTAAACTGAGACACAGATAAAATATATTCTTATGTTTGTTTGTTGGCAGTTCCTGAGTGCAGCCAGTAAAGTTGCTTCACTAATTTCAAATAAGCCTTAGGAGGGGAAAAAAACATTTTAAAGGTCCCATATTATAAAAAACATTTATTTTATTTTTTTTAAATTATTTTACAGCAGGTATAGGTGCTTTATATCAAAACACTCAATCCACAAAAAGCCCTCAGTCGGTATTCAAAAAATTTGCCTTTAAACAAGCTGTCAGGACTTCAGTGAAGTTGTGATGTCACAGCTATGCTATATAAAGGTAAAACTGCTGCCACAGTGCTGTCTCAGTTATTCTCCAACTGCACTGAGGAAGCAGACATGGAAGACCTGGGAACACTGATCAGAGCAGGCTGGGCTTTTTTGGGAGGGGACTTAAGGAGACAGGTGCTAAAATGGAGCATTTCAGACAGTGAGAGAATTCACGTATATTCAGGCAGACAGTATATGGAAAATAGTGTGTTTTATGGCCATTAAAGTATGTAAGTTTGTTCACACACAAAATACAAGTACAAACCTAAAATTGATAGTATGTGACCTTTAAAGCTTTTAGTCTGTAGGTCAGTCAGAAACTCTGTCATATTCTGAAGTGGACAGCATGACTTGATTGTGAGCAAATACTGACAGCCAATATGTATTTAAGGCTAATATTGATCCTGAGTATAGCTGACCTTGACAGATAATAAATGTCTTGTCATCCATAGTTTCTCTTGCAGTGGTCATACTCGAACAGTGATTCTCCCCCTGCTGGCTCTGTTGTGTCTGTGCTTTGACTGAGAATTGTAGCTCAGCAGTCAGGGTCCTCAAGACGCTCATATTTAAGGTTGAGTAAATGACTGAAACCTGTTGTCTGTCGTGACTCTGCCAATATTAGACTCACTCCCTGAAATCCATCTGTTCTGGAGCAGCTCAGAAGCCCCCAGCAGCTCTCTGGCTCTGAAACACCGGAGTCATTTTCATGTGAAACAGTCAGCTCAGCCAAAACACTGCAGTGGCTACTCAACTGGACCTTAAAGGGACAGTCCACCACAAAATCAAAAATCTATTTTTTTTTTCCACTCACCCGTAGTGCTATCAGTCTAGATCGTTTGGTGTTGGTTGCAAAGTGTTGATGTAATAGAACTAGGTGGCACTCAGCTTGTGGTGTTCAAAGTGCAAAAAATATGCATTCGAAAAACTTAGTAATGTCTCTGTGGATTTTTTTCTTATTTCTACCGAACTACAACCACCAACTGAATCACTATATAGGAGGGAATGTTTATCTACTGCTAGCTCACCTAGCTCCACGGGGTTAGTTAAGTTACAACTCAGCCATTCATATTTGATTTGATTTGATTTGATTTTTATTTGTCTCAAACAAGCACAAGCATAAAAACAGGCAGTGTATGTAATAGAAAAAAAAACAAATGGCACACTGTGATAACGTGCAAGTTCGAGAAGGGGCTGAAGGAAGCAAAGCTGATTGTTTGTAGTTGTGTTTAAATTGTTTTAAGTTAATGCACATTTTTGTGTCCTCATCTAGTTTATTCCACAGTTTTACACCACAGACAGAAATGCACATGCTTTTCAGAGTCAAATGGATGGTAGGATGTTTAAAATTATGATTCCCTCTTAAATTGTATTTTCCCTCTCTGACCATGAACATCATTTGAATGTTGCTTGGTAACAATTTATTACAGGCTTTAAACAGAATTTGAACAGTTTTGAATTTAACTAGGTCCCTGAATTTTAAAATACCCGATTTTAAAAACAAAGGATTAGTATGATCAAGTTACCCAGCTTGATGAACCATCCTTATGACTCTTTTTTGTAAAGTGCAAATCTTTTGTAAAGTGCTTTTGTATGCATTTCCCCATACCTCAACACAGTAGGACAGATATGGATCATTAAGTGCATAGTACAGAATTTGAAGTGATTTCTGATCTAAAATGTGTTTAGTTTTACCCAGTATTCCAATGCTTCTGGATACTTTGGAGCACAAATATTTGATGTGAGGTTTCCAGCAGAGCTTATGATCAATTAAAACACCAAGAAACTTAATTTCGTAGACTCTTTCGATTTCAACATTTTCAATTTCCAAATGTACTTCTTGCTTAATTTGACGATTTCCAAATATCATAAACTTAGTTTAGTTCAGGTTTAACGATAATTTGTTTACATCAAACCAACACTTTATTTTTTGCAATTCACTTTTGACCACCAATAATAGCTGCTGCAAATCCTCCCCGAACATAAAATATTTGTGTCATCTGCAAAAACCACCAGTTTTAAAATATTAGACACTTATTTAACATTGATAATGAATATTAATAATAAGTATTCATATTATTAATAATATGAATACTCGCATTTTGTGCTGTCATGAGCACCAGCCTCTCATTCATGAGTAGATGCACTCTTCCTTCTGCACAGTGATACGATTGGTGGGAGTAGTTTGATAGAAAGAAAGTAGTTCCTACAGGAAACTGCTCACAACAAGGTCTGTGGATTATCTCGAGTAACCAGGTCATGATTTGTGGAAAGACATATTACTGTGCAGTTTTCAGATGTTTCTGTTTTGTTTTGTTTTGTTGTGTTTTGTATTGTTTTGATTTGTTTTGTTTTTGAGGTTTTTTTGGCAGCCACAAGCTAAGTGCCATCTAGTTCCATCATATTTGAGAGAAGCAGACATCTCTATGTCCATCTCCAACACTCAGCAACTCACACCAAAACAATCTAGACCGATAAATAGCACTACAGGTAAGAGGAAAAATATGTATGTTAAGGGGTGAACTGTCCCTTTAACCAGTGCAGAGAAGCTATGAAGCAGGTGCTTAATTGTAGCTACAGATTAAGTCTCTAACATTGCGTATGTAAAATAGAGATGTTTTCTATGTGGAGTTGCACAGAGGGCATAGATTATCATAACTGTGAACTGGTTTGTGTATCATTTTTTAAACTAGCTTTTTTGTGTGTGTTGTTGCAGGTGGATGTGCACCAGCTGCCTGAGGTGACCCTTGCAGTGCCAAACTGAGACTTTGTAGGGGATGGAGAGGCTTAATCAATTAAATCCAGAAGGCTGCAGCCTGACAGCACAACAGAAAGGGGAGCAGGCACACGGTGCAGCACACCAAGGGTGAGTCTTACTGAAGAGTTTGAGAACGGACCAGAACTGACTCTCAGCGTAACTGGACCCCCGAGACAACAGGTGAACAGCCATGATTTTATTTGTTATATGGACATTTGAAATATCTGCAGGAGGCATGTAGATTGGTTTGTGGTGCATTTGTCTAACTGTGGGGAAAGTTATGCTTTGCAACCTTATTTTTATAAAGGGGCATTTGTTTTGTATGTGTCCTCTTCATGTTCTCTGTATCCCTGGTGCAGATTTGAGAGGCTTTCAGGCTTTGTAGAATTGTACATGAAATGTATTATGGCAATGTGTTTATCCACCATGTTTAATTAGGTCTGCATAAAGTTGCGTCATCACTAACTGTGACAGCAGTACTCTGAGACAACTACCACCTGAACCACTGAAAGGCCATGTCACTTTTCTATGATCAAGAACAAGAAATATATACTAAATATAAATTGATTTATAGTCATTTGCAGACAGTTTCTGTCTTGAGGTGTGAGTTGGTTGTTTCTTTTTAATGTAGTTTTGTCTGGGACCTTGAGGCTCAAATATTTACACAGACAACTGGAAGGGAGGTTGTGAGACATTAAATTAAAGATTTAATTAAATTAAATTAAATTAAATTTAATTTAATTTAATTTAATTTAAATAAAATAAAATAAAACAATGTTCTCATGATGTTACAATTTTTTTCTTGCAGTTACGACTCTATTCTCAAAATCTTACATGTTTTTTTTTCTCAGTTTGACCCTAATTCTCCTTCTCAAGTCATAAAGAAGTGGACTGTTTTTGGATTACATTTTTCAAAAACAACGTTGGTGGTCTGCCATCAGCACCATATGCTGTTTGTGTTCAGGTTCAAAGGTGCCTTAACTTTCTCAGTAAACATGTAACAGGTTGAAACACAACAGCTGTCTCTAAAATGTTGCCATAAACAGGCAAATTCTCTTGATGATATTTGATTATTTAGACACCAACCATGTTTTTATTGTAGCGTAATTAAAAGTCATTAAACCTACTGTCCCTGCTGTGACCTTGCAGGCCAAGCCACCTCATTAACTGCTCGTGTTTACATCCTTCGAGCACACAACACTTTCTCTCTGTAATCCAGTTTCATTAGGGGCTAATGAATGGGCAGTTTACAAGTGCAGTTTCAATGGGACCTTTTACACTCATTCAGAGATGGGAAGTTGTCAGAGCGTTAGCAAAATCTTTTATTTTTTGAATATCATGCAGTGATCTCTTGCACAGACAACAGTTTGAGCGTGCCTCATGTATTACGGCACCTAAAATCTGCAGGAAGAAGTAAAAAAAAATTCCCACATGACAGCTTGATCATACATAATTCAGATTTCTGCCTGTTATTATGTAACAGTGACGTTATTATAGCTGTGATATAGGATGTGTCATACTGCATTTATCTCAGAGAGTATTTACGTTACATACTTTGTAAAATAATTATCACACTGTGTATGATAAAAGTAATTAGTTATTGTTCTTTAGGGACATCCTATTAGATACAAGGTTAATGTTCATCTGTAGTTCAGCTGCAGCAGATGGCAGCAGCGTTAAGGGATTACAGTAACTCCTTTAACAGTCTGCAGTCAGCCAGTCAAGTTCGGCATCCGATTATAGTGCTCCGTCCTCCATTTGGGGAGGAGAGTGGAGGGGAGAGGAGAGGAGCCGGCTCTGAGTCACATGTGCTCTGTGCAGCCGCTGCAGCTGACCGGATACCTGCCTCAACTGTCTGGACTGCACAAACAGTGACTGTGGGAGGTGTTGTGGATGCAGGGGGTGCGCAGCTCTGTGGGAACACACCTTAGGTACCCATTCACTTTGCCATGCTGATTACATGTTGGTATTTATACCTCGCAGCTCGGAGCCTCGCCAAACAATGCAAGTATTGCTGCTGTTTTTGTGTCTGGCTGCTTGTCATTTCAAGGTGAACTCTGCAAAAAGATAATGTGTGGGACAGCGCTCAGCCAGTGTGTTTGCTCTGTGTTTAGGTAATGGATCTAGACGACAGCGAAGTCTCGCTTCTCTTAGTGCCACTGAGATAGATGTCATGTTTGATGTGTAATCCCTCTACACTCAGAATATAAAATGTGATGTCCTGAATGCAGTATTTATGACGTTTGAGCACGCAGCCTGTTTTCTGGATGCAGGACTGTTTCCCTCAGCTGTGCAGAGTGTTTGCCTTTTGTCTGCGGTCGACATGTTTTCTAACCAGGAACACTCTTCTCCCTCTCTTTCTCCTTCCTCCTCTTATTTCATTTTACTCTCCCTCAGCACTGAACATGGCCTCAATTCTGCAGAAGCTGATCACCCCACTGTTCAGTGGTCCTCCTGAGCCCCCGAGGAATAAAGTGACAGTGGTAGGCGTGGGCCAGGTTGGCATGGCCTGTGCTGTTAGCATCCTGCTCAGGGTAAGAGCCACACTCATTTTACCTTTGCTCAGATTATCTTCATGCCTGCTGGTGTCACAAGACGGGGTAATACTTAGGATCCTCCGAGACTCACACTGGATTACTACTGATCTCTCAGTGTCTGATCTGTTATCCCTTCACTGTCCTTAAGGTGTCTGACAGTGACAGAAAACAACATTTTTCAGCAAAGGAGAACAACTATGATGACTTTCTATTACAGCAAATAAAAATGGACAGCAGCTTCCTGTCTGTTTATATCTACTCAAGAAGCGTGTCTTCTTCCATTATGTCCACCATGTTGTTTCTACAGTAGCCCATAACAGACAAACCGAACACTGGCTCCAGACAGGGCTGTTTGCGTTTTTTAACTCAGCCATTATAGTTCCCTACTACACACTTGGCACATGGGAGAAGTTTCTGTTCTTCAACTTCACCACTAGATGCCATTAGATCCTACACACTAGACCCTTAACTCCACTATGAGAAGTTTTAACACTCATTATACTCGTTGCAAAGCAGGTCAGAGTGTGCACAGTAGCTAACTATTGCCAACAGATACATACACATTTATGATCAGGTTTTGATTTGATTTGTGGCCAATTATGTGTACATTACATTTCATCTGAATTGAGTTTGAGGAAGTTTTCAGTCATTATTAATGCTCTAAATATAATAGAGTGTCATCTGTGTAAAAGTAGCCAAAGCAACATCAAATGTGACCTTTCAGGAAAACATACATGCAGACAACTGTGGTTTAAAATGACCAGTGGATGTGTTAATTATATATTTAGTGCCTAAAACAGACAGCTTGAACCTCTCTGTTGAGGTTATGTCATCTGGAACTTAAAGAACAGGTAGATTGGTGAATGACTGTACTGTGAGGGGAAGCATTGTTGTGTGTGTCGTTCTGAACCTCCCTGATGTGTACAGGAGCTGGCTGATGAACTGGCCCTAGTGGATGTGATGGAGGACAAGCTGAAAGGAGAGATGATGGACCTGCAGCACGGCAGCCTCTTCCTAAAAACTCCCAAAATAGTCGCAGACAAAGGCAAGTTTATACGTCAGACAGTGCAGGGTGCAGCTAACAGGCAGGCATTGTGACTAAACCATTTTTGCCCTCACTTGCATTTAAAATAGCTGAGATTCTTACCAGCTGGAAGGGTTGATAATTAAAAGATACCTGAGTTATGTGAAAAAATTGAAAGTGAAGATACTTAATGTTCCCATGAAATCAAAATAGATGTTTAAGGGTTTTTTTTTAATCAAGTATTTCACACAGATTGTCTATAAAATCTGCAAGCGTAGACAAAAAGTCCTCCACAACAGAGAGCAGGCTTTCCTCAGGTTGTTGTCTATGTTGAGCTAGTAGCTACTGTCAATCTGAAATTTGCCAGGGGGGCGTGCACATTCAGCACTATTGGCTACTATAAAAGCTAATCAATATCTGTGACAAGTCCCCCTCTAGCTTCCTGTTTTTACTGGAAACACATAAATAAGCAGAATCAAATAGCACTCTCCTCGCCGTTTCATTTACCTATTATGACACATCTCCTTCTCTCTCAGACTACTCTGTGACAGCAAACTCCCGCATCGTGGTGGTGACAGCCGGAGTCCGCCAGCAGGAGGGAGAGAGCAGGCTGAACCTCGTCCAGAGAAACGTCAACATTTTTAAACACATCGTCCCTCAGATTGTCCGATACAGCCCTGACTGCACCATCATTGTGGTTTCTAACCCAGGTACCGTCTCAACACGCATTCCTACAGACATACAATACGCACCCTTCAATAACTCTAACAATGCTTTCCAACAGTTGATGTGCTGACTTATGTAACCTGGAAACTGAGCGGCCTTCCCCAGCACCGCGTCATCGGCAGCGGCACCAACTTGGACTCAGCGCGCTTCCGCTACCTGATGGCCGATAAACTGGGAATCCACCCCAGCAGCTTCAACGGCTGGATCCTGGGAGAACACGGAGACACCAGTGGTGAGGATCTGTGGGACTTCTGTTATGTTTTATGACGTTATCGACAAATAGTAGTTCAGACTGTGACTGTGTGATGTGTGAAGCGTGTGGACGAAGGTCAGTGGTTTCAATGTGTGTTTCAGTGCCTGTGTGGAGCGGAACAAACGTGGCTGGAGTCAACCTGCAGACGTTAAACCCAGACATCGGCACCGACTGTGACGAGGAGAACTGGATGGAAACACACAAGATGGTGGTGAACAGGTAAAATAATCATCATTTTAAATATGTATAGTTTAGCAAAGACTGTCTGCTGCACTTACAATAACAGGAAAGTTATCAGGAACTTGATGAAAGTCTCTGTATTAAAATGTTGCTCTTGTTCCCAATAAATTTCCTATTATTGCAAGTGTAGCAGACAGGTTGTGGGAGTTCTTTGTTCTATGATAGTCAGCCGATGGTCCTCTCTGCTTTTTGAAATACATATAGTTTTCAGAATATTTTGTTTAAAGTTACAGGTCCTTACTCCAGTAAAACACTAAAAATGTTTTGTCTAAATGATATTATGCAATATTTCAACTTTCTTTTATCTGATTTTGAATACTGGCACTGTAATAATAATTGTCACTTATCAAAACAGAGACAAAGTGAACTAATTTTATCAGTATCACCTTCAGCTGTCACCTGTATAAGCTCATATTGTATTGGTATGAAAAAAGGAGAGTGAAAAAGTGAGGTCATCTTATATTTGAGGACAAGTAATAACAAATGTCATTATGCATTCAGTGCTGTCTGTCTCTGTCTGACTCTGAGACTGAGTCACTGTCTCTGTCTCTTTCATCAGTCTAGAGGACAAAAGCAGCCGTCCTGCTTCTGAGAGTGTTATTGTGTTCTATCAGTTTATTTTCAGCACCTCTCATCTGCTTCATCACCTTTAAAATCAGCTGTCTGCAATAAATCCAAACATGAAGCAGTCTGAAAACCGTCCCTCAGCCCATACCTTTTTTTGTGTTTGTTGTGTGTCTCAGTGCCTACGAGGTGATCAAACTGAAGGGTTACACCAACTGGGCCATCGGTCTGAGTGTAGCCGACCTGACTGAGAGTCTCATCAGGAACATGAACAGGATTCATCCGGTTTCCACCATGGTGAAGGTAAAGGCTGCTCACACACACTCAGATTCATTTTCACACACATTTCAGACAGAGCTGAAACAAATATTTAAACTATGACATCCAGAGCATTAATACAGCAGCAAACCACTTTGCCATGTATCGATAAATTGGATTAATGGTGTCCTGAGCAGATCATGAGGTCACACTACCTGTGTGTGTGTTGTAATCGGAGCTTCTCTGTTCTTTGTCATGGTAGACAGTCCGGTTGCGCATGCATGTTAGTGCTTGTGTGTATCCCACTGGCTTGCTCATGGCCGCCACTCTGCACTGCTCTCATACTGCTGATAACGCTGACAGCGTTGTTGAGAAAACACCCACCCTACAGCCAAGATACACATGTCACATAGAGCTTCTTTAACTTATAATAATAATAATAATAATAATAATAATAAAGCTTATTTATATAGCACCTTTCAAAACAGTTTCAAAGTGCTTTACAAAACAGAATAAAAGATAAAACAATAAAAAAAGATAAAAGCAGTAAAAATAGAATACATATACCAGAGTAAAAACACGCAATAATAAAGCAGTTAAAAACACCGAAAGGCAATTTGAAACAAGTAGGTTTTCAGAAGTGATTTAAACGATGAGACAGAGTTTGCAGCCCTGATCTCCTCAGGCAGGTCATTCCAAAGTCGTGGAGCTCTGACTGCAAAGGCTCTGTCACTTTTGTGAATTAACCTGGACCTCGGAACAAGAAGAAAAGATGCATCCTCAGGGTGCGAGAGGGAACATAGGGCAATAAAAAATCTGTTATATAACTTGGAGCAAGGCCTCGCAGGGCTTTGTAAGTAATCAATAAAATTAATTCTAAAAGCAACAGGTGACCAGTGTAGGGAAGCCAGGACTGGTGTGATGTGGTTATGTTTTCTAGTCTCAGCCAAGATTCTGGCAGCAGAGTTTTGGGTGTGCTGAAAGAGGGATTTTTTACTGATGCCAGAGAGCATGGCATTGCAATAATCTAAACGACTGGCTATGAATGCATGAATAACTGTTTCCAAACCAAACTGCCTTTGCCTGCAAACAGCATGTTGCTATGCAGCCTTGTAGCAGACATAATTTTTTTAATACATACACCAAAAATACCTCTAAAATGCAAATCAGCAAATTGTCATAATCCAATGCCACCTCTGGCTTTATCTGCCATTATTCAAAAGCTTTATAGACATTTGTATTTGTAGATATAAATTCCAATCCAAGTTCATTTTTCTTATACACCTACTGTATGAAGAACAAAAGATGTATTTATATATGTATATATATATATATATATACTGTATAAAATATATTTTTTTCATTGGATGTGACATTTAAACAAAGGTGGACCAAATAAATGAAGTAATAGTGACTTTTAGTTTTAAGTCTTTGCATTCAGCTTCAAATTGTGGCTTTTCAAATTTTAGCACAAGAATCCACATTTTTGCAGTTTATGAAGTCTCTCTTCTGACAGTTGTCCCTGTCTTAAAGGTGTATGTTCTATTATGGACAGTAATGATGTTGTTGATTGTGCACAGGGCATGTACGGGATCAGCGAGGAGGTGTACCTGAGTCTGCCCTGCGTGCTGAACAACGGAGGCGTGGCCAGCGTGATCAACATGACCCTGACAGACGACGAGGTGGCCCAACTGCAGGCCAGTGCCAACACGCTGTGGGACATCCAGAGGGACCTGCGGGACATCTAACTGAACAGCAGAGGGCGACGTAGCTGTACCCTCCTGACGTATTATCACTCTGCAGTCACTAAACACCACACAGCTCCACCTTCCACACCTCCAACCCACTGCCCTCTGTAGATTCACAGGCGTACTGGAGTTTAATCCCGGCAGATTTAGCTGTAGGTGTCAGTTTGTGACACCGTCTGAGTGAAATGCTGCTCTGACTCATTTGTCCTCAGCTGTGTTGCAGTGTGAGGCCGTGTGTCACTCGTGTTGCTTCGGTGTGCAATAAAGCAAGTTTGTTGTTGCTTGAACAGGAAGTGCATGTGTTCAGTTATTCAGCTGTAAAGGGAACATCTCCAGGAGGGCTGAACCAAGGATGCACAATGGTGGATTTTTGCCGATATCTGATTTGCTAATATTTTCATTCTTGATTTATTTTGACCAACTGCTGATACAGATATATGCACATTTGTTTCTCCACCTAATTGCAGATAACATCATGTAGCACTCCTGTAGTCAACATATTATGCCTAATCTTATTGTGATGGCCCACAGGCAGATACAAACATAAAATACAATGCTTTTAAAAATGTACACATTCACTGAGCAAAATAAAAACCTATTAAAACTTAGGTTACATGTAAACATGCCATATTTATTTTTATGTAACATTTTCAAACAAATCTGTAAAATATATCCTACTAACAGCTTAGATGAAGCTCTCCCTGAGACAATCCTGACAGAAGTCACAACCAGGGCAAATTTCGACTCATTAAATTCACATACATAAAGCAGCATCTTATCAACTAGTCATATCGGCAGAAATGTTCATACATACGTTAAACATTTTATCTAGAAAGGTTGCCATGAAAAAGTTAAACAAGGTAATTTTACTGGGACGTGTGTGGATTTTCTGAACTCTATTTGAATGTGTTATCACAGAAAGAATATCTATGAGTCATTATTTTATGTCAATCGATGAACTCCTGATAAAAACTTTACTTAAAGGTCCAGTGTGTAGGATTCAGCAGCATCTATTGGCAGAAATAGAATTTAATAATCATAATTATGCTCTCATTTGTTTATAATAACCTGAAAAGACGAATCGTCGTGTTTTTGTTACCTTAAAACAGGCATGTCCAAAGTCAGGCACGGGGGCCAGTTGTGGCCCTCGGATCAGTTTTAAACAGCCCACAGCTTGTCTTTTAAAATATACTATATGTGGCCCTTCACACAATATTGGTTAATCAAGCAAGTTCATTTTGCATTCAAAAATGTGTGGACACCTCTGTCTCAGATTATGCTTTTTATGTTTACATATGGAGCGGGTCTTCTTCTACGGAGTCCGCCTTGTTCTACTGTAGCCCAAAAAGGACAAATCAAACAGTGGTTCTAGACGGGGTCATTTGCTTTTTTGGTTTTCACGTCCGCCAGTGTTGTTCTCCTTCAGTTTGATAGATTTTTCAGTTCTGCACCATCACCTCTAGATGCCACCAAATACTACACACCAAACCTTTAGTCTTTATTAGTCAGATTAGCTCTTTACTGAATCTATTTTAAGAATGTGTATAATCCAAACAAATGACAGGGACATTTGAACAATTAATATCACTTGTCTTGCTAATAAGGTGACAAAAGCTATAATGTTCTTCTCATACAGAAAGTCAGAGTGAAGGAAAGATCCTGAGTAAAGCTGTGAACAGGTACGATGCAACAGTTCCTATAGTAATATATAATATTCTCTCTGTCTACTCCTTACCTACGTCCTCCTGTCAATATAGTTAGTAGGCAAAACATCTGCTTAAGGTTTGCAGGGGAATGATGACATCACATTCAAAACCGTTATTTGTTCCTAAGGGGCTTTTAGTTTTGCTGCAGCAGCAAAAAATAAATATCACAAGGGCTAGACACAAAAAAAACATACATAACCAAACATAATAAAACCGTAAATACAGAAGTAAAAAGGTGAACAAATGGAGTACAAAAGTTAAAATATTGGCAGAGAAAAAGAGAAGAAAAGGAGAAAGCGGCCTGGTTGGAGATGTGCTGACGCTACCTGCGCTTGAAAGAGTTGAGCAGTGAGATGTGAGGGTCTGAAGGAGCTTATGCATCTGTTGGTTTTGGCTGTGTGTGCATGTAAGCCACTACACTGGATCCCCGTGCGTCTTGCCGTACACTGCCACCCACTGGCCAGGTGTTGTAAGTGCAACACAAATCTCTGAAAACCAAGATGGCCGACGGAATGGAAGAAATGTGCAGCTCAGGAACTTGTCGCCAATCCTACTGTAACAGGAGACCCCGGTAGATGAATAAATTTTGTAACCATCAAGTAGCATCCAAGAAATGATGAAGTTGTTAAAACTTCTGAGTATTGATTTCATGTTGGGAGGAAATTATTAATCATCTGTCCACTAAACTGGTCATCATGCAGCACTGGCTGTATTTTAACTACAATTATCACCATCACTGAAACCTTGTACTTCATCTGCAGGACTTTATGGGCTGTGAATACCTCAATGTATGTTATCAGAGTGTAGCTTGCAATTTTTGTGACAAAAACAATATTTTGACAAGATTTTTGTAGAAAACGTTAATTGAGAAAATATATATAGTTTAACAGGGAGGTTTGTGGGGGGCTGAGGAGTCAGAAGGTCCAACGCTTTTGCACAGGCACTGAACAGTATTGGAGTATATCAGAATATGTGAACACTCTAGTTTAACAACATTAAAAATATACATATTAATAGTTTTACCTATTTTTTTTCATTGGTTTATATTTCTTCAGTTGAGAACTTAAATACATGCTGTCCAACCAAGTGGACATGTAAAAAAAAAACTTGAAAAATGCTTTTTTCGTTCCTTTTTTTTTTTTTAAATGAACTTAAAATTTTTGTTTTTCATGCCTAAAGAGGAATATCTACACTTACATAATTCATAATTCATGAAAGGGTAAAACTCTAAGTGGAGGGGTCTGAGACATCGATCACATGTGGGGACATTTACAGAGTTGGTTTAATAGGAATAGTGAGGTTCGATATTTTGATCTCACTAAAAGGAAATAGATGCTTTTATAGAAACCTGCTTTACTTACGAGCCCTGTATTTTATTCCCATTTACATCAGAACAAACAAACTGGATTAAAACTCTAACATCTCAGCTCGTGACCTTTGTTTGACTCAGTCACGGCTGGTTCAGGCTGCCATTTCCAATCAGACTCACTGGTCCATCTCTCACAGGCAGTGTGATGATGACTGACTGAATGGTGTTTAGCATGGTGTTAATCACTTGTGTGGTGTGAATGACTTAATTGTTGCCTCAAGCTGACGCAGACTTCTTTTGTTTTTTTTTTTCTTTTCTTATTTCATAATGTATCGTGTGACTGTAAAAGTGTTGAACTCACAGCTCACTGACAAGGCAAAGGGAATTTTATTTAATTGCAAGTTAACACAAACTGACAAGTAACATGTATAGAAAAACATAGACAAGAAGACAGGTAAAGAAAAAACATTTGTCTTCACAAGAAGTTATAATTCAGCTCTTGATCGTCTGGATCGTCTCCACCTGAAGAAAATAGAAAAATCTTTAAGCTGCTCAGATGATGGTGATGCGTTTGTGATAACTTTCAGGGTTTTTACCTTCTTCCACAGCTCGCTGCAGAAGCTCCAGGAGAACAGACGACAGAGACAGCCCAGGTCCATCACTGCTCTGGTTGTGAGTCACTGCAGAGACACAGAGTCAAGACATTTAAAAGGGAGTTACAGTTTTTGTGAGATAAAGTCCTGGTATCAAACTGATGTCTTGCAAGTTTTTAGTACCACTTTCTCACAAAGAATTCTTTATAAAGTTTTAATAAGATCATTTTCACACTGATTTCTCTTAACCCAAGACTATCCTTAGCCCTGGGTTAACTTAGTCCCTTTTTCACACACACCAATTCGGTACGCTTTTTTTACGTTTCCACTGTGAAAAGTTGTGGATGGTACCAATGGAACCGTTCTGTAACGTCCCCATTTTTGGTCCCCCCTCTGTTGGGGTACCTAGCACACAGATCTGGTACTAAAAGGTGGAGCTGTGAACACTGCAGTCTGTTGATTGGTCAATAGAGGACAGTCACTCTGCTCAGTGCTGAGTCATGGCTGGTTTTGTGGCTCATGTAACCACTGTTCATACTGTGGAGAGTTTTGTTAGTAAACTGTAACTATAAAATGAAGGATGTTTTGCTGCCTCTTGCAGCATGAAAAAGAAGTGCTGATACTGCACTTCATAGCATACAGTATTATTAATGGATTTTGGATGTTTTTGTTCTGTCTTGTATTTATCTCTTCTCAAATTGACTTGGTATCAAGGTATCAAGTATTTTTTTTAAGTCAAAAGGCTCAAGTCCAAGTGGAGTCACAAGTTGCAAATCTTGTTTTATTTCATCAAGTTGGGTCTAAAGTCTAAAGAGATTTGTGACTTGAATCCTACTCCAGTCCATACTGCTCTCATTTACAAATACTTTATAGATCAGATACAGTATAACCATTGTAAAGAGCATCTGTTGCAAAAATAGTGTGTTTATAGTGGTAAAAATAATGATTAGTGAATAAAAACAGCAGCAAACATTAAGTCCTTGACTATCATCAACACTGATGATAGTCCATAGCCCAGTTGCATTGGTGTGCGAGTATCTCCTCTGCAGTCCTTTCTTGGTTGTCTCTTGTACCGACACACCCAAGATAAAAAAAAATGTTGCCCTTAGTAGGCACAGTTTCACAGCAGCCTGAAGACTTATATCAAATTAAAACAGCATCAGTAGATGACTCATTAACTATCAATAAACTCATTAGTTACAACATGTAAACCCTTTATAAAGTGTCACTTATTAGAAAGTGGAAAAAAAAGCTTATGAGTCTAAAATAATACTTCACTGCTAATGTAACTATTATCTCTCACCTATGTGTAAAGTGTCCCCGTCCTCTCTGCTGGTGCGCTGCACCACTGAGCGGTGTCCCTCTGCAAAACATCAACATGCAGCACAATTTTCTCTCAATCCAAGTTAAAAACCAGACACTTACACAGTTTTATATTTCCTCTACAAACTCTTACGTGCTCCTTTTAGGTATAAGATGGCCTGAGGGGTCCAGTTTCTCCTCTGAAAAGTGATGCACAAAATCACCATTTAAAAGTCATTATTGTTTTCTTTATACTTTTGTTTAAAATCAGCTTGAAGCATGAAAATAGAAACATTTACTCTCACACACCTGTGGTGCACTCCAACACTGGGCAACCAATGTCAGCATGAGCAATGTGACCATTAGAGACATTGTTCAACTCTGTAATGACATTTAGTTTAATTAAAAAGAGTAGTATTAATATAAATAACAGAATAAAAGAAATATAATAACCCTACATCCACACCACAGTCTAATAAATGGTTTGTTACACAATATGATGTAGTTATAAGCAGATATAAGGACATTTAAAGTGTTAATTACTGCACAGTATTTGTCAACAATTATAATTTCACCTAGAAATTGTATTTTATTGTCTTAAAAGTGTTTCACTATATTGTCATTCATTATCTATTCACACACAGGAGGAGTTACAAATGTTGACAAATACATGAAAAGTCTTATTTCTGTTTACAGCTGCATCACAGACAGTTTATTAAATTCTATAAATGCTGCACAGGGGCGCTTATGGTAATGTGTAACTGTTTAAATGTTTATCTTAATTATAACAAATTCAATTTTCATTTGAAACTGACTTCACATAAAATAGTTAATAATGAATATAAAATAGTTAAAACACTAACAAAATATAACAACTACTACTTACAATCATAATAATAATCATATCTTACCGTTAGCTGTTTGTCGTGCTCTCCTGCAGTCTAAATGTTTGATTTGTGCGTCCTCCGTCGCTGGTTACATTATAAAAGCAATGATAATCACCTCATCACACAGCATCATCGATGAGGATCATTGGTACCTTAATTACGTCTCACGTGATGCTTCCATTGACGAGAGTGACAGGTGCTGTTAAAACTGTCACTGCTCGTTAATCAGACACACACGACAGAGATTTAAACTTTTCAAGACTTCCATGAGTCTCTTCACAGGGTCACCGCCTGATGACGACACTGGTGAGATTTTATGAATGAAAGCTGACGTGATGACAGCGTGTCAGTGGAGTACGTGGGTGTAGACACCTGCACGAGGCCTGCAGGCTGTGGAGGAGTGTTGATGCTTTCCATAAAAAGCTGTACGGGTCATCGCATGTCATGCTGTAAAAGTTTTAAATGGCTTTCTTTCTTAAGTGCACAAGAAGGGATCCATTTGATTTATTTCACTTAATTATTATTATACATTGGATTTATATAGCACTTTTCTGGTTACTCAAAGAAGCTTTACAGAGAACAAGATAGAAAGGCAACAGAAACTCAAATAACACTGGTTACAACCAAGGTCTGCAGAAGACCATCTCTGAACCAACAACACGTCCAACCTTGAAGCAGATGTGCTACAGCAGCAGAAGACCACACCAGGTGCCACTCCTGTCAGCTAACAACAGGAAACTGAGGCTGCAATTCACACAGGCTCACCAAAACTAGACAATACAAGATTGGAAAAACGTTGTCTGGTCTGATGAGTCTGGATTTCTGCTGCCACATTCAGATGGTAGGGTCAGAATTTGGTGTAAACAACATGAAAGCATGGATCCATCCTGCCTTGTATCAACAGTTCAGGCTGGTGGTGGTGGTGTAATGGTGTGGGGGATATTTTCTTGGCACACTTTGGGCCCCTTAGTACCAACTGAGCATGGTTTAAACACCACAGCCTACCTGAGTATTGTTGCTGACCGTGTCCATCCTTTTATGACCACAGTGTACCCATCTTCTGATGGCTATAGTTGCAATCAAAATTATTCAACCCCCATTGCATATTAGGCCTATTGGCAAAATATACAATTTCTCTGCTGTTTGCAATAAACAAATTACACAAGAACTGTTTAAGTAGTTCAATGAAACTAATATTACAAGGGTTTTGATCCAAATTCAACACAAAATACTACTTTTAATGACTACTGCAGTCTCAAAATTATTCAGCCCCTTCATGACAAGCATCTTCAGTACTTAGTAGAGCACCCTTTTGCTGTTATGACCTGCTGCAAACGTGATGCATAGCCAGACACCAGCTTCAGACAGCGTTCCTGCGGAATCTTAGCCCATTCCTCATGGGCAATGGCCTCCAGTTCAGTAATATTCTTGGGTGTGCGTTTTGCAGCCACATTCTTCAAATCCCACCAGAGATTTTCTATGGGGTTCAAGTCAGGCGACTGTGACGGCCACTCTAGAATCTTCCATTTCTTCTTCTGAAACCAAGCCTTGGTGGACTTTGAGGTATGCTTGGGATCATTATCCTGTTGGAAGGTCCAATGACGCCCAAGCTTCAGCTTCCTCACAGACGGCACGACGTTTTTACCTAAGATTTCCTGATACTTGACTGAATCCATCGTGCCCTCCACACGCTGCAGGTTTCCAGTGCCAGAGGCAGCAAAGCAGCCCCAGAGCATCACTGAGCCACCGCCATGCTTCACTGTAGGCAGGGTGTTCTTTTCAGCATATGCTTCATTCTTCTTCCTCCAGACATACCGCTGTTCCATAGGCCCGAAAAGTTCCAGTTTTGTTTCATCACTCCACAGAACAGAATTCCAAAACTTCTGTGGCTTATTTATATGGTTTTGAGCATATTGGAGCCGACTTTTCTTGTGCTTTTGGGTCAGTAGTGGTGTACGTCTTGGAGTCCGGGCATGGAGCCCTTCGGTGTTTAGTATGCGCCTTATTGTACAAACTGAAACCTCAGTGCCTGCTGCCACCAAGTCTTGCTGCAGGTGTTTTGCAGTCACTCGAGGGTTTTTGACCACTTGCCTCCTCAGGAATCTGGTGGCAGCCGCTGATAGTTTCCTCTTTCTGCCACGTCCAGGTAGTGTAGCCACTGTTCCTTTAACTTTGAACTTGCGAACTATGCTTCCAACTGTATCTCTAGGAACATTCAGAGCTTTTGCTATCGTTTTGTATCCTTTTCCTTGTTTGTGCAAGGCAATGATTTCTTCTCTGAACTTTTTGGACAATTCTTTTGACTTAGCCATATTTCTAACATGCAATCAAACGTCACTCTCAACAAAACCCTAGCCAGTCCAGGTATTTATGTGTTCTGTCTCAAGCACACCTGAACTAATGAAGCCCTTGATTAGTTGCACCAGGTGTGCTTGAAACAGGGGGTTGAATAATTTTGATTAGTTGCATCAGGTGTGCTTGAGACAGGGGGTTGAATAATTTTGAGACTGCAGTAGTGATTAAAAGTAGCATTTTGCGTTGAATTTGGATAAAAACCATGGTAATATTAGTTTTATTAAACTATTTCAACTGTTTTTTTCTACTTTGTTTATTGCAAACAGCTGAAAAATTGTACATTTTGCCAATAAGCCTAATATGCAATGGGGGTTGAATAATTTTGATTGCAACTGTACTTCCAGCAGGATAACGCACCATGTCACAAAGCTCACATCATCTCAAACTGGTTTCTTGAATATGACAATGAGTTCACTGTACTCCAATGGCCTCCACAGTCATCAGATCTCAATCCAATAGAGCACCTTTGGGATGTGGTGGAACGAGAGATTCACATCATGGATGTGCTGCTGACAAATCTGCAGCAACTGTGTGATGCTATCATGTCAATATGGACCAAAGACACTGAAGAATGTTTCCAGCACCTTGTTGAATCTATGACACCAAGAATTAAGGCAGTTCTGACGGCAAAACAGGGTACAACCTGGTACCAGCAAGGTGTACCTTATGAAGTGGCCGGTGTAGATCTCAGGGATGTGTAGAGGAGGACTTTAACTTAGACAAAATTAAAGAAATCTCCACCATAAATTGATGCATAAATATTCACCTGGACACAAAGTGTGTGACACTCAAAAATTTCTGGGGAGGCTGTCAGATAAGCGGATGAAAATGGATGGATGCACGATTTAAATTTAGTTTCATCTGTGACATTTTCAGACAGGAAGTAAAAGTTCGGATTTGTGAGAAAATCAAAGGCTCTTTGTTGAGAAGAACACTTGTACCCTTAAGCGACTGGAGGGCCATCTCCTGGGTGGGTGGCGTATAAAACTGTGGTCTCTGCAGCAAAACATCCAACACATTTATAAAAAGACACACTTTATTTAAAGTATGAATTTACAAAAGTTACAGTAAATCATCTCCTTTACAAGCTCCTTAAATGTTTTTCACAACAGTTCAGGTTTCTTTAGCTCAACATTATTTTGAAATGTACAAAATTCCAGTAACACGTCATCGAGGAACTTGTAAAAAAAACTCTCAGTGTTCAGGCCCAGGATCTGAGGGAGAGGACGCTGTAAAGAGCTCCTGACACTCCGCTGAGTTAATCCAGTGGTCCCAACTTATCAGTCATAAATATCACACTGCTGGAATGATACAAAAAGGGAGACCTGCTTCCAGCTTTTAAAGTAAAAAATCTCTTGGCAGTCGGATACAAAACGTCAGTCGAACATCCGAAGAAACACTTGGTCTGGTTTCATAGCTCTGCAGTGGCAACGACCAAAATATACAGTCACTATTAGAAACTATGATAAATACTGAAGCTCGCCGTCGATACAAAAACAGTCCTGTGCTATACCATCGTGTTGCTCTCGCCGATTTTATCCACCAGCTGAAAGATAATAGAGAAATAAGTTGTTAATAAGCTGCAACTTTTACTGAATCAGACAAAAATTTACTAAATAAAGCTCACAGGAAGAAAAAGAGGAAAATTATCTGTGAGAAGATTCATTTGAAAACCACTGAAGAGGAGAATTTCCCTGCAGATGCAGTGAGGTTTTCACCACACGCTCCTGATAACTGATCCTGGACACTGACAGTCTTCCTAAACTCACAAAGGTCTCACACAGACTCAGAGTTCAGTACAACAGAGACTCTGTTCTCACACTGTCAGCGCTCACATCTCGGTAAAAGCCTTCCTCTAAACCTCTGTTTTACAAAGACCGTACAGGCTGTCTGAATAATCTCAACTTTCATCTACGTCTCACAGTCTTCATCAGAAAATAGACTCTACTGCAGAAACTCCAAATCTGTTGTAAGCTCCAGCTGAGTTTCTGTTTCATGCCTGTTTAAACAGTTCAGCTAAAATCTGTTTACTTTGCAGCATTATTGAGGCATTTTCAGAAGCTTATTGGTCCTGTTTAATGATTTCCGTCTCTCCTGGTTTTAGTTTTTGTCAGTTCAGTATGAAAATCAACTTGCAGAGACTTGAACATGTTCGATAACACAGCTACAAGCAGGGACAGGCTCCACTGCTGCTGCGTTTAGGTACTCGGAGGAAACTCGGACAACTGAGAATTATGTGGAATTTATAGTTCTGCGTTGAATCGACGCCGTGGCTACGGCACAGGCTCCATGTCGACGCAGAGCCTACGCCATAGCCTGACGTGAACCTCACCAGAAATGTAACTACACGTTGTGGTGATGCAGACTTCCTGTCTGTTTCTGTAAGCTGACACCATTTCCCTCAGTGGAAACAAAGCTTTTATTTAATTTCACAGATAAGAAACAATAAATTATGGAGACAATAAAGCCTCCACTAAAATAGCATTTTAAGTCTTGTGTGTGATTTATCCTGGCTTCATGTGAGCAGAGGAAATCTCCACTTGTCACTAGGCTAATTTATACAATGTAAAATGCCATAGGCTGGCGATAATAATGCTAGCATGTTATATTTGTTTGGAAAATGTGATTAGTATAAGACAGTTGTTTTGTAAGTGAACCTTGTGAGTTGTAATGGAGCCAAATTTTGTAATGTTACCTTTGTTAAATGTTGCTGTTGTCCTTGACTTCATATGAGAAGAGGTAAAGATCACTAGCTGCTAGGTTAACAACCAGAACACAGCAGATTAAGAAGAAAATAAGAAAATACAGGCAGAGAGTCGCCGCAGATAAATACACCGCCCAACAGTTCTAATGGGTCATAAGTGATGACTGAGAGATGAGTTTTGTATGAGTCTTGTTTTTTAGGAATATCCTGCATAGTATATCTTTAAGGGGGCATTTGATTTGTGATTCATTGGTTGTCATGATACTTACTGAACTGATTCCTGGCAAACTGAGCAAAGACCCGAGCACAGGTATTCGTCTGATGAAGCCCACCGCCACCGGGAAGAATCCTCTGTAGAGAGAAAGAATCAGATCAGATCCCAAAAAATTATTGATTCAGGATAGCGATAACAAAGATTTGTGTTCTTTCTTTTTGAGCCGACCTGAACAAGAGGAAGAAACCGTAGATCTCCAGAACGACTCCAATGATCGGCCAGCCGATCAGCACCACAAACACTCCTCCCAGAAAGAAGCTGGTGGCTTTTACTTTGTGCCTCTGGAAGAAGAATCTGAACGTTCGCTCCAGGCCGATGACGAAGGACAGGCCGGACACAAACAGGATCTGCACAATAAGCGAAGACGCACAAGGTGAGACACCAGTCAGGTGAAATGAGGGAGATGTTTGACTGTAGTAGTTTTACAGGTTAACTCACATTTCCAATGGCGAGGAGAGCTTTATCGAAAAACAGCACCATCCCAAAGAAGAGGAAAAATACGCCGAACCCCGTCAGCCCCATCCCAATTTCTGTAAGAAACAAGACAGACATCAGTTAACATCACATCATAAACTGTTTTTAAAATAAATCTTTAATTTCCATGAGGAAACTGAGCTGCTGCAGACACTAACAGGGTGCAACAAAAAAGTAAGATAAAACTTTAACACACAAAAAAGTTAAACTGTGAAATAAAGAGTGTGTGGATAAAAGTATAAAAGATAACAGTAGTTGAGAAGTGTGTTGGTCTCCATCCAACTCAATGAGAAAGAAAGAAACTACACGAATAAGAGCAGTGCTGCATCAGTAAAAGATAATATTAAGTGTATATTTTTTTTCTTACCACCATAGATTATTTCATCGTAGCTTTGTCATTGTTGGTAATGTTGCAACTGCTCAATGATGAACATTGGATTTTTTAAATGATCTTTGCATCTATAAGACAAAGTACCTTGATCTCCAGCCAGGTGGCCCCAAAACAGACACTACAGTGTGGTTATTGTTCAATAACCACACTGTAGTGTCTGTAGTGACTTTAACAGAAAATTCAACATCTCATACACTGTGGTAGAAAATTGTATCCATATTACAGTCTCCTAATTCATTGTATGTACAAACTAGCGCTGAAAAAACCTTTACTGTAAATGGTATACTTCCATATATTAATACCAATTTTAAAACCTGGTAAACTGGTAATTAAAAGTAACTGACATGTAAACAGATAAAGCATTAACAGATCAAATATAAACACTAGCTGATACAATGAATTAAAGTTAAGAGAATGATATTTTAAAGAAAATAAAACTAGTTACTTCTCCATTTAATAAACAGTGACGTGCCGCTAAGTGACGTAACTACGCTCTCAGCCAATGGTGTTAGAGATGCTAACATCCCGCAGCTAACAAACCGGGTTTTTACACAGAAACGTTACAGACACAATAAACGGTTCTTACTCTGTGAATCCGTGAGTGAAATCATTTTGACGGCAGCAGGAGGATTTATCAAACAACACAAAGCTCGTAACGACTCGGACCTGCTGCTTTCTGCCGCTAACTAACTGATTCAACAGCAGCGGAGAGGATGAGGACGAAGAAGCTAGCGGTCGGTGACGTCACGTCCTCCGGAGCTACGCACGCGCATATTCCGCCAAAGATCGTCTATGAGAGCAGATGTGTTGATGACCTTCAGTGATGTTTCTGCTCCCCACAGTGAATTGTGACTTTAACTAATAACTGTTTTGCTCTCCGTATTATCCTCCTGACACCTTAACTTTTGTTTGGTGTGCGTTTTTAATTTCTCCTATGTATTTGTGATCAGTATGACTCGGTGACTTTAAAAAAAATAAACATTGTCAACAATAATAAAGTCCTATGTCATTTACATGAGTACTTCCTAAATAACAGCGTCTTAGTTTGTAACTGTTGCTAAAACTGGTCAAATTTGTTGTCATATCAAACTACAAATATTATTAATCATAAATAAACAAGTTTCAACCATAAAATGTGATCAGGTTTTGGATCTTGTCCACTTTTGTGTCGGGAACGGCTGCAGACTGACTTGGCGGAGACGGCTGCCATCTTGTTTTTACATGGATTAGTGCACTGGACAAAATCACAGATGGAAACCTGGTTACAAATTTTACTTTCTCAAGATTGTCAAGTTTGATTTTCCTCTTGGCGCCCCACCAGGGCCATTAGATGGGACAAAGAAGTGTCCACGAACGAGGACAACAGGTCTAAGTTAAACAGAATAAAGTATAAGGTCACGTTAACCGAAAATGTGATGCAATCATATGAGAGTATAACTAACATGTATTTCCTTCCTATCCCACTTACTCCATACAGGGTCACAGATGAATCTGTTATTCTGGAAAATCTGGAACCCTTCGAGAATATGGACTGATTTACACGTTAAAAACGAAATCTGTTTTTTAGAATAGACTTCTGGTGCTCATAAGAACCCAGATAAGTTCACGTCAGTATTAGTGAACTGAGTATTTATTTTTGACAGTCTACAGTGACATAACTTTAGTATAGGACAGGAGGTGTAGACCATAAGCATTGTGAAGTTATTTTCTGGTCTGTGTGGTTTCTGGTACCCAGAGATTCGCGCGGAGTGAGACGTCTTCATATTTTTAAAGCTACCCTAAATCTGCGCACGCGTGTTGGAGCGTTTCTGTGTGTCATGGTTGCGCAGGGATTGCGCCTTTTATTTGTAAACTTACGCTTTCTGTTCACTATTTTTCACGCATTTCACTAATATTTACTCCTAATACTGTTTCCCAGACGGTGTATGTGTTTGATTCGTGATGTTGCTTTAAATACAGAGAACATTGCGGACACTACATACCTTTTTCCGTGATGTCAGAACGGAACTACAACTCCCATGAGCCCGCGCGCTACGGAAGCGTCTCAGGGAGAATCTCAGATTCAGACGTGTTCAACTGAAACAGGAGTTTGTGTTGAATCAGAAAAAACTCCGGTCAAACACAAACCGCAGCTCGTTAGCAAATATGCTCCGAGCAGAGACCCGCTTAATGAAGTGACACATTTTCCTCCGAGTTATAGTCGCACTGAGCCAACATGGGGACTGCTTTTGCCATTGCCCTGGTTTTTGTCGGATGCTGTAGCAATGTGGTGTCTCTGGAGCTGCTCGTCAGGTCAGTGACTAACTTAGACTGTTTATGAATTTGTGTCCGGTTTACTGCACCAAACTTTTCTCAGTTTTTAGTTGTCTTTGTTTTGACTTCATGCTGCACCAGTACTTTGTGACCATATCCAAAAGCAAGGTGTAGCAACAGTGCAGTGACACATAAACATGTTGTCAGAGGTGGAAACTAACTATTGAGCTGTTCATGTAACTGCTATTGAGTAGCTTTGCCATTCACTCTTGCAGAACTACTGTTCATGAAGCTTAAACTGACTGGCACCCTGATGTTTTCATAATATAAGATAAGACAGAACTTAACTCATCTCAGTGGTATTCTTTGTGGTAGAGGTGTATAATACTGTTAGATAATAGTATAAATATATAATAACCTGTGTGTACATGTAGTGAAGTAAAATCATATATTCATGATTAAATAGAATAAGAATAAGAAAGGGAAAAAGAAATAAAGGGAGGTGTAACGCATTCGTAAATTGGATCCTGGATTCTCATCAGCTTCTGTCACTGCAGTTGTTATCTTTCTTCTTAAAGCTCTCATAAGTACATGGATGAATGAGTTGGTTGGGCCTTGTCATTGTGTGCAGCTCTTCTAATGTTTTACATGTTACTGTGTGTATTTTTATTTTTATTGTGTGGTTGTTTGGCTGTAACCTTTTGTATGCTGCTGTCTTGGCCAGGTCTCCCTTGTTAAAGAGATTGATGATCTCAACAGGACTTACCTGGTTAAAATGGGTCAAATAAGTAAATAAAATAAATAAATGGAATATACATGGGCAGATCATGAGACCGTGGGCCCCTGGGCACAGGTATTCAAAGGCCCCACCCCCACCCCTCATACTCAAGTCCTTTTTTACACAGAGATTACGTCATCAGGCGGCTATGAAGTCCCTTCATTACGCTGCCTTGTTTTTTTTTAGATAGAAACCAAACAACAGCGACATCATGCTGCTGCCGTTCTTCTTTGAGTTAGCTGCTAACTGCTGTTAGCTGCTTTTTAAATCTCCCAGCAGTGGTGCACACTTGGTTAAAATGTCACATGTGTTCTGTCCTGCCGGCTGTCCTTTTTACATAGACATCAATTCAGTGCTGTTAGTACCTCCACTGTCAGCTTTAAGGTTAAACTCTGTCCCCCATCCATGATCATACCTTTTCTAAAGATCGGTGAGGCAGAATAACAGCCTGACATTCCCGCCTTGATCAGACAGTGTATAAGGGGCTATAGACTTGCAGTGGTATGGCTCTTTGTGTCTCTTTGTAGTCATGATGCATCTCTCTGTAGTTGTTTTGCCTGTTTTTTTAGTTGTTTTGTCTCTTTGCTGTCTTTTTGTGTTTCCTCCTGGTCAGTATGTGTTAATCTGAGTAACATTTTGCCGGTGTAGGCCAGGCAGGCCCCCTGACACTTGTGGCCCGTGGGCCCATTCAGTCATTCAGCCATGGTAGATAATAAATCAATCAATAAATAAATACCAATGTGTTGCCCTGACCTATTTTAAACTGTACAGTGTTTTGCAACGTCAGACATTTTTAGCTTTACCTCATTTGGTGTTAAATCTGGATATTTTCTGTTTTGTCTTTCAGAGAGTTTCCAGGATGCGGCAACATTGTCACCTTTGCTCAGTTTGTATTCATTGCATTAGAGGGTTTCATCTTTGAAACAAACTTTGGGAGAAAGAAACCAGCGATCCCTGTGAGGTAAGAACTCATCAATGGGGTTTTAACTTCCAGCTGCAGGAACAAATGTAGGACAACGCAGATGCTTAAACAAACTGTTATGTTCTTTTTTTTTTCAGTAACTATGTGATCATGGTGACCATGTTCTTCACCGTTAGTGTGATCAACAACTACGCTCTCAACTTCAACATCGCCATGCCATTACACATGATCTTCAGATCGGTAACATCTTTTGTTTGCCTGCTTTTCACCGTCATTTTTAGATTCTTTCTTTCTCCTCCGCCTCAATCTGATCTCTGTCTTGTTTTTTTGCAGGGATCACTAATTGCTAACATGATCCTGGGAATCATCATCCTGAAGAAAAGGTGCTTCCTCTGACAACAATAATACTACACGTCTCATACAGATGAAGTCATGACTGCAGGTTTAAAAGCCTAGTTATTTGTATCTCACCTTCTTCTCACTCTGCAGGTATTCAGCGAGTAAATATCTGTCAATAGCTTTAGTTTCAGCTGGTATCTTCATCTGCACCATCATGTCTGCCAAACAAGTGGTGAGTCTTCTGCAGAACATGTTTTCTGTGCAGCATTTTCTTCAGTCAAAGATTAAATCTCTTAAAATATGCAAACTTGTAGTGGCTGTAATATTTTTTTATGCATTCTGTCATTTTGTCTCTGCAGAATGTGGCCAATGAGGGATCAGAGGAGCAAGGCTTTTATGCCTTCATGCACTGGCTTGTAGGTGAGTTCCAGGTGCCAAACACTTCAAGTTGACATTACATTTGGAAAGGCTGAAGCTAGTGATTAATTTCATTATAACTTTAGCTATTGCTTTTATTTAATTGATTTAATTTAATTCTATTTTGTCTATAAAATGTCAGAAAATAGACAGTGGTGAGTGTGAATGAGTGGAGTCAGCTGTCAGTTAGTGTTAGAGCAGAAAGGCGGAAGGTGTTCCCACTCGGTATTGTAAATGAGTACGTGTGTGAAGTGTGTGTTTTTTCGCCACTGACCGGTTCAGATCGCCAGTGCTATCTCTGTAAATAGCATACTAGCCTTTCCCTTACCTCTGGGCTGTGTGATGTCACGAGCTTTGCTCCACTGTGTCTGTAGCTCTGTCTACTCGTGGGGCAGCCGTTTTCTTGAGGAAGAGGTGTTTCGGGATCGGATGTCTTCTCTTCTTCGGCTGGCAGTAGTCATCTTGGGAGAAGTGAGCACTGCAGACCCGATGGTCTGCAAGGCGCAGTGTCTGGAGAGGAGTGTTAGCATCCATTTGTAGCACAACTAGCCACAACTTCAGCATCTCGCCGTCCGACAAAGGCAGCCTATGAAAGCTGTACGGGGTGTTGCGCGACATCCTGTTCTTGCGTTCGGGAAAAGGGCTCGTTTATTTGAGCACTCCAAAAACTCCGGTAACACTCCAGGGGGTAGCACGTAAAAGACTCTGTTCTCTGACTCTTCTAGCGTAACACACACACTTCACAGACACATACTCATTTACAATACCAAGCGGGGCAGCCCTCCCCCTCTCTGCTCCTCCTCCTCCTCCACTGACAGCTGACTCCACTCATACCACACTCACCACTGCCCCAGGGCCGCTACAATATGCTATCTACAGAGATAGCACTGGCAATCTGAACCGGTCAGTGGCGAAAAAAAGCACTTTTATACGGGACGCATTTGCCCCCATTACCGTTTTAGCTCGTTTCGCGGCTCAATACTGAACCAATTTTAGAACGAGTGGTACCCATGAATCATACGCACACATACACATGGGGAAATAGGGCCCAGGTTGAAAAATACCGAAGTTGTCCTTTAAACACGGCCGCCTGTGACTTCAGTTCATCAAGAATTCTCTACATTTTTGTATTCTTTGTTGACCGGAGTCATGCATCATTTAATGCGGGCAACCAGCTACATTAACATTATGTTTTGGGGCGCCCACTAACTCACCTGGTGGAGCAGCCGTCCCATGAACAAAGGCTGTGACCATGCTGCAGCAGCTACGGGTTCAGTTCCAGCCTGCTGCCCTTTGCTGCATGTCATTCCCCCTCTCTCCCCCTTTTAAACTATATCTGTCCTTCCAAAAAATGTCTTTTAAAAAAAGTAGTTGTAAAAGTGTTTTGATTTTGTTGTTGTTCATTTCTACCCATTCAGGTATCGCCATGTTGACCTTTGCTCTGCTGATGTCTGCGAGGATGGGCATTTTCCAGGAGACACTGTACAAGCAGTACGGAAAACACTCTAAGGAAGCTCTCTTCTATAATGTGAGATTTCTCTCTGCTCTGACACGCAGGGCGCTCCCAGAAGATTCACACATCTTCAGGGGAAGCTCAAGCTTAGGAAATATTCCCTCTTGAGAATTAATTATGGTGTCAGCAGCTGTTGATGGTTTCTTTTTCTTGTCTCTTTGTAGCATTGCCTGCCTCTGCCGGGCTTCCTGCTTCTCTCCACAAACATCTACAAACACTGTGTCTTCTTCAGTCAGAGCAGTGAGTGACATCGACTCATTCAGGAAAACTCATGTTTCTGCATCTTTATTCACAGGTGTAAATAAGTATCTTCTCTCTCTCAGCTCCTACAGTCATTCCTGTGGTTGGAGTGACGATGCCGATAATGTGGGTCTACCTGCTGATCAACGTCATCACACAGTATCCTGTCAAACAAAAAGTTTATTTCACTAGCTTGTGTTTATTTATCTCCCGCAACAGTTATTGCAGTGATGACCAACATCCACAACATGATAGAAAAACCACATTTCTGCTACACAAATGTATTTTTTTCTGGAACAGGTGCTATTTTGTGTAAAATACAACATAGTTATGTTTCTTTTGACGTCTGAACCTGCTCTCAACTAGCATGGTAGACACATCCAACCTGTGGTGAGAGGTTGCAGGTCGACACACTGCTTTAATTTACATTGAGGTGTCAAAATTTGTTCGATTTGAGGTTTTCCTGTTTGATTTTTTTTTATCTGAAGGATCAAAAGTTGGTCCGATTCTTAAGTGCGTAACACATTGGGGGCCTCAGATAGCACTGCATCAATCAAATTTACTGTTCTCTGATCAGATATTGTGCTAATTTTAAAGGGACAGTTCACACTAAAACCAAAAATACCTATCAGTCCTCTACCTGTAGTGCTATTTATTAATCTAGATTGTTTCAGTGAGTTGCCAAGTGTTGGAGATATCAGCCGCAGAGATGTCTGCCTTCTCTCCAGTATAATAGAACTAGATGGCACTCGGTTTGTGGTGTCCAAACCGCCGTAATAATACCTTTGGAAAAACTCAAGATCGACATCTCTCTCCAGAAATCATGACTTGACGCCTGTACTATGAAGCCAGTTCAACTTACCCAGGATATCTTCTCATTATCTGGTTTGACTAACCTGAGCAGTTTCACGTAGGAACTCACAACAACGATGTCACTAGCTGTTTATTACTGTTCATTTTAAATTGCAAGGCGCTTTATTTCCTCCCACTCTGTTTACAGACTTTAACCAGTTATTTTCAGGTATGTGTGCATCCGTGGCGTTTTCATCCTGACCACAGAGTGCGCCTCGCTGACCGTCACTCTAGTGGTAACGCTGAGAAAGTTCCTCAGCCTCATCTTCTCCATCATGTACTTCCAAAACCCGTTCACTGCGTGGCACTGGGTGGGCACAGTGGTGGTGTTCCTGGGAACTCTGCTGTATACGGAGGTGCTGAGCAGCGTGTACACAGCTCTGCGTGGACCTGGCGTCAAGGAGAAGAAGGCAGAGTGAAGACGAGGAAGAGGAAGGGACTAGAAAAACAGCCACTGTATTGGACTCGGAGATTGTTTTTGGTTGATTATACTGCAGCGGTTTTATACAGTTATGTCATTTTGTTTGGGTTGTGGTAATTCCCTTACACACTCACACGCACACAGAGTTTACAGGATAAGGCTGGTGATATTTTATATTTTAACTGTGTTATTCTGTATCTGAAACACAGACAAACACAGTTAGCAACTAGCTGGTGAACATAGTGGAGCATTTAGCAGCTAAAGAGCCAGATGTTTTTCTCAGGAGTTGGTGGAGACCAAAAATGGAGCTAAAAGAGAGTAAATATTAAATTTAACATGACTCCAAATTAATGATAATATTACTCCATGTCTGCTGGACGTGTAAATATGCAACTGTTTACTAACAGTTTCACCACATCAGCTTGAAAAGGGATATGTCAGAAGCTAGAACAATTAGTCAGTCGAAAGCAAAATAATTTGCAACAAGTTTCTTGTTGTTGTCATTCTCGAAGCAAAATTCCCTGATATTAGTAGTTTAAGGTTATAAAATGGGAGAATTTGCTGCTTTTTAAAATTTGGTTTAACATTTAGGTAAATGGGGCTTTGAACTGTTTCTGATATTTCAGAGACAAAACTTTTAACAAAGAAAAAAATCTGCAGAATAATTGATAATGAAAAATAATAAAATAATAATAAAAATAATTTTAATAATTATAATGAAATAATTGTATTATTTTATTTTATTATTTATTATATATAAAAAAATAAATAAATTACTTGCAGCCTTAAAATAGTTGTATGTGAGTGCTGAGTTCTGAGATTGTGTGTGCTGCCTCCTAGTGGCCAGAAAATAGTTATTGCAGCTTTAAAACTTCTGTAAAATGGTTAAATATTTTCCAGAAGCAGCTGGGCGCTGACATTTTTAAGCAAACATCACTCACATGGGAGCAGATAGTGCATTTGTTGGGGACTATTTTCAGCTGTGGATGAATACACAGTGTTAAGGATTCACTCTTTAATAGACTTGAACAGTTTTTGGGAAACAGTGGCGCTCTACTGCACAGATTAGAGGAATAAGTTATATTAGGCTTTGGCTTCTTGTTAAAATGATCAGTTCATCGTTAGTTTAGGTCTTTAAACAGGGTTTACTAATGATAAGAAATATAAATAGAGGATATAGAGTATCACCTGCCCTATTCTTTAACATTAGTACCTCATTAGCATTCACGGATGCAAAATCATGGTGCACCTTTGTTTTTTTCTGTAATGTTATTTCAATATTTATTTTCAAAGGTGATGGCTGATTTACTTTATATTAACATCAGTAGGATTACAGTGAACATGCTTAAGTGATGCTGGATGGATAAAATATGTTCATGTTAAAGGAGCAGCTGGAACCTGAGTATACATTGGGATCATTTATGGAGCTCATGTTTAGGCTGTTTTGTTTTCTCATGTGTCAACATGTCTCAGGTGTATCGGACCAGTATGTCAACAGAAAACATCAATAAATCTTTACACTCCCTGCCAACTGAAATTAAAACGACAACCTGGCGACAAGAATGTTTAAAAAGCTGTAATGGAAAGTAACTAAGTACATTTACTTAAGTGCTTTATTTAAAGGGTAACTTCTGTGTTTTGCAACCAGGTGTCTCATTTATAAAACAGTGTGTAGGATCCATACTTAAAATGTACGTACGGACAAAAGCCAAAAATGGTGTGTGCCAAAAAAAACCCGCCAATTTCCCGTCTCCAAAGTGTTGGTAAGCATGGGTCAAAATTTCTTCCATCAAGTTTTTTTTTATAGCTCCGAACTTTACCTTTGGAAGTGATGTACACCTCTTTCAGGCCTAATTTTGTGTGTATGTGTTTATAAATGAGACCCAAAGTGACAAATGGAAACAACAATTTTTGACACTGGTCCAGTATTGGGCAAGAGCGCTGCAGCCGTCAGCGGCGAAACAGGCTGCAGAGTAACCTCTTGGGGCACATACAGGCTGAGATTATTATTCTAAGTGTGTGACAACATCATAGAAAAGATCCCTACAGAGACGGACCCTTTTTCTTAGAGGTCCTTTTGTTGAACCAGAGACAGCCACAAAGTCACTATCACCAAACTTCCAGAGTCTGTTTAGATAACCAGTCATTTTAGTTTGTGTAGAGGCAGCATATTTACCTAACTGGGTGATTAAGGATTTATTTCAACCAAACCAGAATTGGAGATAAACCAGGATGTTTTTTGAAAGTTTTATTTTGTTACTGTTGACTTAGAATGATGTGTTTCACAATGATAAAATCAGGCTCAGATATTTACTATAAGTTTTTGACAACATTATGGAAAGGATCGCTACAGTGGTTGACCTTTTTGTTAAAGAGCAGGACTCCACCAGACTCCTTTTGAATAAAAAATAATTCTATCTATGTAAAACACACTTTATTCAGAATTTACAAAAACAAGATTGAAATCACCGAACCCATCTTATTTTGTCTTTTCACTCTCCCAACAATCACCATCTCTGGTTTGGTCGAAATAAACCTTTAATTCACCCTGTTGGATCTGAGAAAATGTCGGCATTAATATTAGTACGCACATTCTAAGCTAACCAACGTTCAGGTGGGTAGTCAACAACCTGTTTTATACATCCAAAGAGCTTGTCTAAATATGAACTGCTTGGCAACCAGACCAGGTGTCTTAACTGAGACAGGCCTTTATTTGTCAAAATGTGTCGACACACCAGCTTGTAAAAGGGACTAGGCTTTTAAATGAAGTTTTATGGTATTATAGATGTAAGATAAATAGTTGTAATTAGCCCACCTTTACCAGCATGAACATTCAAATGAAGGTTACACATAATTGCATCAATGATTTTAATACAGTTATACATTATTCTGAAATGAGACATTCTGCACAGAGTATGTTTATTTATGTAGATTACATCTTGATTATAATACTTTTTACTTTTAATTAAATACAATTTTTAATGCAGGATTTATACTAAAGTATTTCTGCTTTTACTTAAGTAAAACATCTGAGCACTTTTTCCATCACTGGTACAAAGCACAATGGATTATTTATTAGGTAAATACATTATTACATACAGGGACACAATGTTCTCTCATACTTCATTGGCTTTAATGACCTGACCAATCCGGAGAGGCGTTGTTCAGCTCCGACCAATAGCAGCAGCTGTTATTGAGAGTCAGTGGTGGGAAGGGCAGGTTGTTGCTGCTGAGTTGATTTCACTGAGAGCAGATCCACGCTGTGGATTAAATATTTGTAGTAACCAGTAAACAGCTGATAGTGGTGTGCAGCTGCGGGAGTGTGGATGGGGGGAAACAGCCCGAGTCACCTCTCTCAGGAGGATGGAGAAGGTGGAGGAGTCACTTTTGTGAAGGGCATCCGGGTGAGTGAAGCTCAGGGGGGACATTCGTGGACTCAAGTGGGAGAAAGTATTTTAACAAAAGGTCTCATGCATAATGTGATAACAGAGAGACCGCTGCAGAGTGCACGGGTGTTCATGTTTCATTTTAAATCCTGGCTCATGGCTATTTCCCTGGTCATGTGATACGTAATCAATAAGTATTGATCATGCTCTCATGTTTGTTGTTGCACAAAGTCAGCTGGTGTTAAATATAGAAAGAACATGGTCGCTTCTCACAGGGAGCACGAGAAAAAACAAATAGTCTTCACATAGATAATCATTTAAATCACGAATTTAACTGAATAAAGTTTTTTTTCTAAATCCTTAAAGTGACAAAAAGAATATAATTAAAGAAGTCTGTGAATTAACTCTTAATTATGTGGTTCATTTTAGGCAATTAATGATCTGCGACCTTTGAGTATCGACCACTATCGGTGACCTCCTGCAACATCAAGCAAACTTTTAATTAACAAGTCGCCAAAATGGTTTGCCCTCTTCCCTCAAAAGTATTTTAATTAATACTAACAATAATGTGAGGTTAAGTTCATAGAATAATATATTTGTGATTATGATGAAATATTTTATCATTTCCTAATCTTTAAATAAACAATAAGCATTTTTAGGCTTTCAAAACTTTATTCCCATACAAGCTCCATGCAGTAACTGTTATGGAGCTTTCAGTTGTATCACATGGTCAAGAATTAACTTTTTTTTGGGGGGGGGGGGGGCATAATTTTATTTTCCACACAACTTGCAGGTATACATTAACCAATAACTGCTGTCAATGTCACAGCACATGTAGACATAAAAAAAAATAGAAACAAAAACAGTCTGACCTTAGTATCATACCTCGTGTAACACAGCTCTACTGTTATGACAAGCATGATGTAACCTGCCACTGTCATCCTAGCAACAGAGAGCTCCTCAGATAAAATCTATTTCCACTGCTGAATAGAAAAACTGTATGGCGGCTTCCACCTCACCGCCAGCATCTTTTAAGCAGCAGTCCATGCTGATAACCAGAGCTAACTTTGAGTTTGATTTAACTTCTGCCCTGAATCATCGTAGCCTACATGCTGGAGAGCAAAAATGGACGTTCTGTTATTTGCTCTCATAAACTTTTAACTGATGGACACTCCCATGTGATATGTAAGACTGAATTTTTAATCTAAAATGGTTTTTGTAACTGGGAAACCATCAGTGCTAAGTGTGGAGAACATTAACTTGATCACACAATGATCAGTACAAGATTGCAGGGAAGAGGGAAGCTTGTCAGGTTGAAATCATGAGAAAAGATTTTCACATAAGGCGTGCAGGGAAATTAAAAGGAGAAAAAAAAGACAATTTTGCTGCATTTAAACATTTAATCCTTTGATTTCTAGTAATATCTATTGAAGAAGCCCAGTTTTAAAACACAAGACAGTATACAGATGGAGTACAGGGTTGAAAATTAACTTTTTTTTCCCACTTAATAGATTACCTTTGTGTCTTGGCTGGTGAGTGAAGCAAATCTAGCAGCCACTTGCATATCTGCATTTGGCTGGTGGCTGGTGCTTATTTCCAACCCTGATGGAGCACATCTTAAATAAAAAAACCCAATACTTATGCTGCTAATAAGATAAAAAATTACCTGTGATGTGCTGTAAGGCCGGGAGAAATTAAAATTCCTGTAGTTAGTTCTTGCTTCTGCACTAGGGTTGCAGCGGTATATTGTAAAACAGTTTACTGTGTGTATTTGCTTATCTGTGGCATTGGGGGGAAAAAAGAATCTTGCCTGTGCTCACATCCTCTTTCCTCCTAAACCCCTGTCCAATTGTTTTCACATACTTGTATTAAAAATGGTTTCAAGTTCCAATAATAATAAAACATTTGGTCAACCTTAAAAACCTTTATTTCATTCCTTTAAGGATCATTGTAACTGATAATGATAATAATAATTGTGTAGTGTCTCGGGCGTCAGTGGCTTAGTGGAGCAGGCGCCGCATGTACAAGGCTGTTGCCGCAGCGGCCCAAGGTCGACTCCAGCCTGTGGCCCTTTGCTGCATGTCTCTCCCTCTCTCTCTCCCATCTTCACACTTCACTATCCTATCAATTAAAGGCAAAAAATGCCCTAAAAATATCTTTAAAAAAAAAAATTGTGTAGTATCATATCCTGGGATAACATGACACCGTGATAATTTCATATCGTGAAAATCTCATAGTGTTGTGACCCCGTTCTGCACCATGCCATTACTGAGCTGTTTGTGCCAGTCAACCCTCTCCTCCCACTGTGGCAGTAAAGTCACCTTTTAAAATATATATATATTCATTGTAAACAGTGGTTGAATTGTTAATTTTTAACAAGGAGGATGCAATGTAGCTTTGATTTTTTTGCGTGCACACATCATGCCCACAATGACTTTCACAAAATGTACACCTCCCAAAGGACATTATTGCAGGATGCCTTAACCGTAACTATAATCAAACAACAAATGATACCAATATTATTTTTCTACTCCAAATATCAAGCAAGTGATGTCAGATGTCACCAAAGCATGCACAGAAAAGCAGGTAAAGTTTGCAGTTAGCTAGCTGCCTAGCTGGTCAATTTCACTTTACTTTGGCTAGCTGAATGTTAGCGCTATCACAAAATAGCATAGGCTAACAGTAGCATAGCTAAATAAGGCATTTCTGTGGAAATAGCCACTGCAACATTCAAGTTTTGTGTGAGAAATCACGTCACTTAAATCCAAGCTTCTCGCCTGTTCTTTTCTTTTTAAAATAATCACGAAGGTCAAACTTTATTTTCGTTTGGTCATGCTGCCAATGAATGCATCAACTGAGGCCCAATTCCAATCCAGCCCCTAAAGACTCAAGCCCTGAACCCTCACTGACTTAACTGACGTCAGCTCTAAGTGATTAAGTGTGAGAGTCTGAAAGGGCTCCGGATGCTACAAATAGGAATGGGACAGCACTTATCCCCCTCTCTACAAAATGTTGTTGACAATGGCGGCTCTGGGCGTGATCATTTATCGGTTTTTGTCAGCATATATTCCACACACAAAGAATATATATCTATAGATAGATCTCTCTCTCTCTCTCTCTCCATATATATATATATATATATATATATATATATACATATACAGTACAGGCCAAAAGTTTGGACACACCTTCTCATTCAATGCGTTTTCTTTATTTTCATGACTATTTACATTGTAGATTCTCACTGAAGGCATCAAAACTATGAATGAACACATGTGGAGTTATGTACTTAACAAAAAAAGGTGAAATAACTGAAAACATGTTTTATATTCTAGTTTCTTCAAAATAGCCACCCTTTGCTCTGATTACTGCTTTGCACACTCTTGGCATTCTCTCCATGAGCTTCAAGAGGTAGTCACCTGAAATGGTTTTCCAACAGTCTTGAAGGAGTTCCCAGAGGTGTTTAGCACTTGTTGGCCCCTTTGCCTTCACTCTGCGGTCCAGCTCACCCCAAACCATCTCGATTGGGTTCAGGTCCGGTGACTGTGGAGGCCAGGTCATCTGCCGCAGCACTCCATCACTCTCCTTCTTGGTCAAATAGCCCTTACACAGCCTGGAGGTGTGTTTGGGGTCATTGTCCTGTTGAAAAATAAATGATCGTCCAACTAAACGCAAACCGGATGGGATGGCATGTCGCTGCAGGATGCTGTGGTAGCCATGCTGGTTCAGTGTGCCTTCAATTTTGAATAAATTCCCAACAGTGTCACCAGCAAAACACCCCCACACCATCACACCTCCTCCTCCATGCTTCACAGTGGGAACCAGGCATGTGGAATCCATCCATTCACCTTTTCTGCGTCTCACAAAGACACTGCGGTTGGAACCAAAGATCTCAAATTTGGACTCATCAGACCAAAGCACAGATTTCCACTGGTCTAATGTCCATTCCTTGTGTTTCTTGGCCCAAACAAATCTCTTCTGCTTGTTGCCTCTCCTTAGCAGTGGTTTCCTAGTAGCTATTTGACCATGAAGGCCTGATTCGCGCAGTCTCCTCTTAACAGTTGTTCTAGAGATGGGTCTGCTGCTAGAACTCTGTGTGGCATTCATCTGGTCTCTGATCTGAGCTGCTGTTATCTTGCGATTTCTGAGGCTGGTGACTCGGATGAACTTATCCTCAGAAGCAGAGGTGACTCTTGGTCTTCCTTTCCTGGGTCGGTCCTCATGTGTGCCAGTTTCGTTGTAGCGCTTGATGGTTTTTGCGACTCCACTTGGGGACACATTTAAAGTTTTTGCAATTTTCCGGACTGACTGACCTTCATTTCTTAAAGTAATGATGGCCACTCGTTTTTCTTTAGTTAGCTGATTGGTTCTTGCCATAATATGAATTTTAACAGTTGTCCAATAGGGCTGTCGGCTGTGTATTAACCTGACTTGTGCACAACACAACTGATGGTCCCAACCCCATTGATAAAGCAAGAAATTCCACTAATTAACCCTGATAAGGCACACCTGTGAAGTGGAAACCATTTCAGGTGACTACCTCTTGAAGCTCATGGAGAGAATGCCAAGAGTGTGCAAAGCAGTAATCAGAGCAAAGGGTGGCTATTTTGAAGAAACTAGAATATAAAACATGTTTTCAGTTATTTCACCTTTTTTTGTTAAGTACATAACTCCACATGTGTTCATTCATAGTTTTGATGCCTTCAGTGAGAATCTACAATGTAAATAGTCATGAAAATAAAGAAAACGCATTGAATGAGAAGGTGTGTCCAAACTTTTGGCCTGTACTGTATATATATCTATATATCTATATATCTATCTCTATATATATATTTCTATATATATATATTCTTTGTGTGTGGAATATAACCACTGACTCTGACTCCTCTGACTTCGTGTGTTTATGTACCTTATTAAATCCTTGTTAATGTAATGTTTCATTGTTTATCTGTTTTTTTTCGCTCTCCTTCCATAACATTACCGTTTGCATATCTGCCAACTGTGTTACTTCCGGTGTTCCGAGGGCAACCCCTGTATTTGACGTCACAAGGCTATGAACTGTGGGAAATTTCCTTACCGTAAGTCCGCATCGATGCTGACCTACGGTAAGGGGGCATAAAGGGCTCACTCACTGACTCACTGACTCACTGACTTGACAATTTGACAATGGGACAGCCCTCACACACTCACGCACTTCACATGAACGCGCCTCTAAGTCAGTGAGTCTGTAAGGGATCGGATTGGAATTGGGCCTGAGTAACATAACATGCTCCCGTATCGCACGCATGTGTTTTTTGGTTCCACCAAGGGCAAGCAGTTTCAACTCTCTGCTACGGGTACACGTCTTCGAGCATGATAAAATAAACTGAGTTGCGGGATTTAGCTAGCAGCACAGCTCCACCTACACACACAGATTCTAGATTAACAAGGGGGATAGTTTTTGGTCAATTTTCTAACAAAGGGGATGTCATCCCCCCTCAATTCGACCACTGACTGTAAAGCTTGATAACTGACTTCAATTCTTCAATACTCTAACCCACAGAAGTCTTGTGATTTTGTTTTTATGTACCAACAAAAATATACAAAACAAAGGAAGACACCCACGTAACTTAAAATAATTCCTAACTTAAATAAAAAGTAGTATAAATTAAACTGGAGAGAAATAAAGCTGCACATACAGGACTCTTTAACCCATTACTGCCCCCAAAAAGAAATAACCAAAATGACATTATAGGAACCCACAAAATGACTATTTATATATCAATAAGTCACATAGTGTTACCTTGAATGTGTGAAGAAAACTTTGTCAAATGATGAACATATTGATCGCACATACATTTTTGCTCAAACCTCAGTATTTGATTCTGACTTGAAGAGAGCATAGATAAGTTTCACTGTCAGTTCAGTTTTAAAAGGTAAAGTTTTAGTGAAAATGAATGTGTTTGAGCTAGACCTAGATTATACTGCAGTTTGTAAATGGATGATTTGATGTGTTTTATTCTGTTGTTAGACGTTGGTTGGTCCCCAATAAGTCAATGAATCAATATGTTTGCCATTTCCTGTGGAGGCATGTGAGAAAAAAGTTTTCTCTATAAAATGAAGCTTAAACAATATGACTAACTGATATACAAATGGTCTTTGTGTGGGTGATGTGTTCCTTCAACAGAGACAGGACACAGTTGAAATAAAAACACATCAGAATGACATTTTAATTAAATCCACACTAACGAGTCTGTTTCTCTTGTGTCTCTGCAGCTGTCAGATAAAGTCATCAACAGGATGAGACAGTCCTCAAAGGTCATCACTCCTCCTCCACCCTCACCTGAACCACAAACACACACTCCAGTCCCCGCCCCCTCTGTCGAACACTTATTACCTCTGCTGACACCTCCTCCTCCATTCATCGCGCCTCCTCCTCAGGAAGCTCCATCCACACCTCCGTCAGTGGAACCTGCTCCTCCTGTAAAACTTGTCCCTCCTCCTCCTGTAAAGTTCCACTCCCTTCCTCTAGCCCCGTCTCCACCTATAGAGCCAATAATTCCACCTGTATCCGACCCTGTTGTCTCAGCCCCCGCCCCACCACCACCTCCTCCTTTGCAAGAAGTCCCATCCACACCTCCATCTGTGGACCCTCCTCCTCCTGTAGTTTTTCACGCCCTTCCTGTGGAGCCTGAAGCCGCGCCAAGCACTCCACCTCTATCTGACTCTGTTGTCTCGGCCCCTCCTCCACCTCCAGCTACACCTTCTCCAGAAATAGAGGCACCTGCTGCTCCACCAGTAGAAGCACCTCCTCCTCCACCTGCTGTAGTGGAGCCAATAGTCCTTCCTCCTGTTGAGTCCTTCATCCCACCTCATGTAGAGCCAGAAATCATGTCTACACCACCCATAGCAGAACCTGTTATCTTACCTCCACCTGTGGAAACACCTGTAGCTCCACCTGAACCTTTAGCTTCACCTCTGCCCTCTGAAACTCCTCCAACTACTATTGAACCTGCCGCTGTAGCTCCCTCTGTTCAACCTTTAGAATCTGTTCTCCTGTCTGCACCACCAGTGGAAACAGTTCAGCCTCCACCCACTGTTGAATCTACACCAGTTGAACCCACAACCCCACCCTGTCCTGTTGATTTAGCTCCAGTTGAAGCCATAGTTTTACCTCCGCAAGTGGAGACGCCTCTTGTTGAGGTTACAGTTAAAGAAGTAGTGCCTCCAGTCGTGGCTCCAGCTGTGGAGTCACCGCCTCCATGTGAACTGGTCTCACTTCCACCTCCTCCAGAGCTGGTGGCAGTACCTCCTCCAGAGCCTGTGGCAGCATCTCCTTCAGAGCTAGTGGCAGCACCTCCACCTCCTCCAGAGCCGGTGGCAGCACCACTTCCAGAGGTGGTGGCAGCACCTCCACCTCCTCCAGAGCCAGTGGCAGCACCTGCACCTCCCCCAGAGCCAGTGGCAGCACCACTTCCAGAGGTGGTGGCAGCACCTGCACCTCCTCCAGAGCCAGTGGCAGCACCACTTCCAGAGGTGGTGGCAGCACCTCCACCTCCTCCAGAGCCAGTGGCAGAACCTCCACCACCTCCAGAGCCAGTGGTAGCACCTGCACCACCCCCAGAGCCGGTGGCAGTGCCTCCACCTCCTCCAGAGCCAGTGGCAGCACCTCCACTTCCTCCAGAGCCAGTGGTAGTACCTCCACCTCCTCCAGAGCTCACTTTCGAAGAGCCTTCTCCACCCTGTCACTGTGTGGAGCTGGCTGTCATACCCACCGATGCACCTGTAAGTGATGAACCCCTTCCTGAACCTCTGGCACCACCTCCACCTGCTCCAGCTCCACCTGCTGAAGAGCCCGCCATAACCCTGTCTCTGCCTCCTGTCATTGAGGATGAAGTACTTGCTATCACAGCAACACCTCCACCTGCAGCAGGTGAGCTGATCACCACCACCATGATGAAAACTGTAGCAACTGTTTGAAATAAATTTAAATGAATAAAGTTTTTTGGTCATGTGTTTCCAGCCCCACCTGTTTCTGCTGAAGTGATGGAGGAGGAGTTGAAGCAGAAGATCAAAATGGAGATGCAGTTGAGTCTGGAGGAGGAGATCAACCAGAGGAGGCAGGAGCTGCAGCGACAGTAAGGACACATTACTGTCAACGTCTGACTGAGTTTCTGTCGCATCTGAACGTGTCTGTGTGGGATGTTGCTCTTCTGCACTGGCAAGGGCATCTACCCATTTTTCAGAATCTGTTAACCTACCAAATACTTCTGATTGATAGTGAAAGATTTTTTCATTTTAATTACCTAGATCCCAAGATTTTCTTTAAATGTCTTTTGTTCGACCAAAACCTGATAATATTTATTTTACAGTGACATAAGACAAACTAAAGCAGGAAATCTTCACATTTCAGAAGCTAATTTTTGTAAATTTCGCTTGAAAAATAACCTTGAATTTGCAGTTTTCAGTTTCATCTATTAACTAATCGACTCATCATTTAATCTAATGAAATGTATGAAGGGTGCATCAAACTGCGAGTAGCATAATGTTATAAACTGTGATCTGTGTGAAGGCTTGAGGAGATGAGGGCTCAGGCTCGAGCTGCGGCCCAGGCATCTGCTCAGGCTCAGGTGGAGGAGCAGGTGAAGAAGACGCTGGACGGGGAGATGATGGCGTACAAGGAGAACCTGACGGATGCCATTATGAAGGAGCGAATGAAGACAGAAGACCAGAGGCTCATGGTGCAGCTTTATGTACGTACGAGACAAACATGATGTGTATATGTGTGTGTGTCAGGATCTCTCTGTGAAATGTGAAAATCTTTCCTCTTATTGTGCCTCTTTTTCTTTCTCGCTCTCGTGGTTTTTCAGCGGATGGAGTTGAAGGTAAGACGGGAGAGAATTTATACGTGCATGACTCACTTTTCACCTTTCCGCTCTAATGGCATCTAAAACAGCAGCTGTGTTTCTCTGGTCTTTATGTCTTTGATGATGGGACAAAAAATAATTTATAACTGCGTGGACGTTCTGGCATCAGCCTACAAAATATGAAACAATGAAAGGTCATGTTGGCATTAATAAAACAGGTTTTAGAGGAGTGATTATGTCATTATAAACATTTTGAACTCACAGGCTCACCAGCTGGAGGAGAGGGAGAAAGAGCTGAGGAAACGAGACGTTCTCTACAAGGAACATATTGCAAAACTTGAAGCAAAGGTGAGCAACATTTCTCATCATCCCTACATCTCATTTAAGTTTAAGTTACATAAAAGCCCCTAAATGTCATGTCTTAAGTTTGAAGCAGCTATAATCTATATTTGAATAATAATAATAATAATAATAATAGTGTACGAAAAAGCACTGTGAAAGGGGGTCGCTTATAGTGATGAAGCTATTGAGAGTCATCACCTGAATCTTTTTACAGCTTTATGGGGAGTTTCAGCTCATTGTTTAGGAGTCCAGCTGTGACATCACTGTTTGGTTCACTCTCATTGTGCTCATTATGTCATTTATGGCTGCAGCAGGCAGCTGCTTTCACAAAAAAAGCTCTAAATACTGCATATATTTCACCTTGACAGTAACTTGTGGTGTTTTTATTCTTTGACAGTGCACTGAGTTTTACAGAGTGACTGCTGAGAGCTTCCAGAAGGGCAAAGTAGAGACTCACAACCGCTTTGCGTAAGTTTGGAACCACTGTGAATTTTATAAATGCAAAGATGAAATGCAAATGTCCCTTTCGTAATAATCAGGACAGAATCATTCCTATACAAATGCTATTTAAGTATAGTGATCAAGTAGTCAACTTACAGTGCTCAGTTTGGGTCTTTTCATACATTTTTAAAAAGATATTTTTAAGGCTTTTTTGCCTTTAATTGATAGGACTGTTGTTAGTGTGAAGGGAGGAAAGACAGGGGGATGACATGCAGCAAAGGTGCCTCTACCAGGTGAGCTAATGGGCACCCCAGTTTTTTCATACATAACAAGATGGGGGGGGGGGGGCGTAGTTTACATCAAGTGGACTGATAATGTCCCCTTGAGCAGGCCCTTGGTAGCTAAAGCTGTCTGTTTTGTTACTTCAGATTAGTGTTGCACGGTATACCGGTACTAGAATAGTACCGCGGTACTAGAGTATTCCAAACGGTACTATACTGCATTTGGAAAATACCGGTATTTTGAAATTGATTCAGTTCATTAATTTAGTTAATTTATTTTACTCAATTATGCACACAAACACCTTTCTTGTTCCTATTGGAGCACAGATTGCGCAAGTGGTGTGTATGACAACACCTGTATCAACATTCGCAGCTGGTGCATATGAAAAAAGACAAGCGAAAGTCTGCCTCGCAAAGGGAGACAACACGAGACAACACAAACTTGGTGGAACATTTCAGTTACCAAACCGTGACGTCCGTACCGAGGTACTTACCGAACCATGATTTTTTGGTACCGTTACACCCCTGCTATTTATTGTTCTAAAGGTTTGTATCCAGGACTTTTCCTTAGGAAAAGTAACGAAGAGTATCGAAAAGTATCGAAATTCATATTGGTATTGGTACCGAAACAAAAATTTTGGTATCGTGACAACACTACTTCAGATTAATGTAATAAATCAAATGTCTGTTAGATAGTTTTCTACATGAGAAGTAAAAGAAAAATTCAGTTATAATAATCATCTGCGTATAGAGCTTAGTTTTACCTAGACATATGTGTAACATACAAACATTTTTACAGTCTGTATGGTTGAGTTAGTAAGGTCACAGACTGCAGAGGTATAATGACTGCTGTGCATGTTTCACGAATTTGGTGGTATTATCTACCAAACCAACCTGATGTTTAATATTTGCATTGTCTGTCTCAGGCGTTTCAACATCCAGCCGGTGTGCGGTGATTTGCAGAGTCAGATTTTAAAATGCTACAAGGAGAACACAGGGAAGACTCTGTCCTGCTCAGGTATCGCCTCGGCGTACATGCAGTGTGTGGACAACGCCAAGAAGGTATGACTCCAATAAACAAACTGATTTCTTCTTTGAAATATCCATAATGACTTCCAACCTCTGATTTACTGTTGGTAACATTTTAACACATTTCTCTCCTCTGTCTACAGAATAAATTGAGCACTGGAGGTTAATGTGGACCACCTGATGAAGATGACGACATTTGAGAGCTTTACTGCCGCAGCAAGGAAAAGTTTATGGACAGAATTCAAGTAGAGTTACAGGAGAATCATCTCCAGCCTTTACATACTGTCAGGCGGACTTGTAGTCTGCTCTGACGGTAACAACATGTTTGCAGCCTCTCCGGTTCTTGGGATTATCTTAAAACCACTTGTGCCACAACAGTAACAGATGAATCGAATCATTTTAAGTGCTTGTCTTTTGTAAACAAGTTGAAAGACAACAGAGGAGAAGAGAAGTTTGTGTGTGTGACGTATATACTGAATGGGATGCTGGTAAATCATGTTTGTGTGCCTTGAACTTATGAAAGCTAATTATCAGATTGAAAATGCATGAGAGAACTGATTAATGAATGTGATGTAACAAAGACCTGTAAGTGTTTAAGGGTTATTGTGATGTACATAAATTATTTCAGGGGTTATTTCTGGTGCATGCACAAGAACTTTAATCAGTCACAATAAACTTTGTTGAATCACTAATGGCTTTTAATATTTTTGCTGTGTGGGAGAATATTTGAAGGTGGTTTGCTGCCCTCTGGTGGATGTGGATCAAGTGAAAGCACACAGTAGAAAGTTATTTTAGTCGGCTGGGATCAGTCTAATTCACGTTATTAATCTGTGGTAATATAAAAAAAAATACAGCTTAAATCTTTGTTACTGAATTCAAAAAAATATTTGTAGTGACAGTTAGGCAGAATAATACCCACAATTATGAAACGACAGGGTTCGTGAACACTTTCTGGTTACACGTCCATGTTACGGGTCACGTGTCTCTATTAACCAATGAGAAGCTAGAAGGACTTAGACTGAGGTAAATGTGTGTGAGAATCACTGAGGCAGATCCAGCAAACTATTTAACTGTTTTAAGCACTGCTGCTGTGAATATTTTAACATGTTAATATGTAAATAATAATTGTGAACATAAATGTGTAAATAGATAACTGTGCTGCAAATAAAATGACTGAGGTCAGATGAACAGATTGAAAAATTTATCTTATTAGATAATACAGATGTTGACAAAGTTTTTCTTCAAGGACACAATTTTCGGTTTAAAAAAAGGTAATAAATCGCAATATATTTTTCCACAACACTCAACATATTGCATCACGTTTAAAACCACAATGATATTGTATTGTGACTTGAGTATCATGATTATATTGTATTGTGAAACCTCTGGTAATTCCAACCCTAAAAGATATTATGGTGATTTTCTCTAATGAAATGTGTTGGAACATTTGTTCTGCTTTGTATATCCAAGGTAATGTAGCATCTCTTCTCTTTTAAAGTTAAGAGAGAGTATGTATTCTAACTAATTTCATAATTAAGACAATGTCCATTATTTACAGAAGTTGTGGAGCTTATTTGGTCAGTAGAAATCTCTAATATTCCTGCATTGTAGTTTAATTTAAATGATTAATTAATTAATAATTAATATATTATAATACATCTCCTTACAGACTGATTTTATATTTCCCTATATATGAAGACCAAATTTTATATATATGATATAACCTAAATAAAAAGCATAGGGCACAAACAAGCGCAGCACTCCAAACTGAGTGGGAGTTTTTATGAGAAGATTTTAAACACAACTTCATGTCATATAAGTTTTGAGAACATAAAGATAAAAAACAACGACTGGTCAGCTCACCAAGTGTAAGTGTCCATGGTACAGGCAGGCAGTCCAAAAATACATCCCAGGCACTCTGACTGTAGTTAAAAATCCACTTCTCCTGACTTTATTATTTATTATTATTGATGATTATTTAATTATTGGTATTAGTGATAACAGGTTAAAGGTAAGATTAGTCTTAATATACTTCCTTCCCCTTTATTATTATTATTATTATTAGACTGTGAAAAAAAATAAGATTAATAAAAATGGCACCAGTGTGCAGAAATTTTTCAAGCAAAAGAAAAAAAAGCAGTCATGCATATCCAAAAACCATTTCAGGCAGGAGCTGGACTGATTAAAATATAGCAATAAAATATAAATGAATGTGCTTTAGTCACGTGTGTGTGTTGTGCTAATAAATTGCACCTAAAGTATCTACAGCGTGTGAACCTGTTTCGTGTTTTAAATGCATCAGAGTACACACTCTCTGATAACATCACCAGTAGAGGTCCTCCACCTGCAACTATAGACTGCTGCAGCTGAAACTATCAACGGTATTCACTGTGCAGAACAGAACAGCTCTCTGTGTGTGTACATTATTGGATCATTTTTATTGTGTCAGCAGTACTGAAAATGTTGCATTAGACCTAATTTAAAAAGCTTTATTTACTTTTTAAAGTGTAATCATCTTATTTCATAAAGCGATTGCCTGTTATCTGGAAAATAACCATGAGCCACAACCGTGAAAAATGTGTTTGCAATATCTGAGGAGAAAACACTTGCAAGTAAACACAAAACTAAAGTTAAGTACTTTTTAAAGTGTGGTAAGTTTCATTTAAACACCACTGTTATTACACAATCTCGTGTCTTTCTTCTCCTCATTTCGGTAAAAACCACAGTGCAGCTAAATGGAGGACTTGCGTGTCTGTTAACATGTGAGTGTTTGTCTCATCTAATTTTAGGTACACCATGTCCTGGTCGATATGAAGAGGAAGTGAGCATTTGCATGTATGTGTGGCTGCGTGTGGGTGCAGACAAACTCCAATTTTGGCAATTTACATGCAGGAGATATTAAATCAAAGGATTACATGCTCTTTGTGTAGAAGGATCTAAAGATGTGGAAATTTCCTGACAAACTGAGTTTTGAATGTCAATGTAAAAACATGGCTGGTTCTGTTAGTTCCTAAAACTCTGACATTTTGGAGGTTAAGTTACATGTGTCTGTATGTCGAAACTACAAGTTTAAGCCTTCTTACATTCAGTCTGATGCATTAACTCAACTCTTTGGCCTCACATTACTTGACTTTGGGTTTGTCAGAGCTCCAATTTTACAAATCTAATCTATTTAATCAGATATTGTAACCACTTTATTTTGTGTCTATGCCTTTTACAACGACTTCCACAAACAGTGATGGATTAAAGCAGATGTTAAAGTGTTTGTTTTCCCTGTGCAGCTTACAGCCTCCTCCACTCGTACACGACAAGCCAGGAAAGTAAAACAGAGGTGAAGCTGTGGTCTGCAGACCAGACCTGACATCAAGTTCTTTCATGAGCCACAGAGGAAGCAGCGGCCAAATACACCAGTGTTTATCTGTGGCTTTTTGTGTTTATGCACAAGAGTGGTGTGTGTGTGTTATGTAATTTCATCTGAGTGCACTCGTGCCTTTTGAAAATAGCTCTGCTTTACATGTATTTGTGTTTTTGTGTGTTTCATCTGTTTTTACTATCAAATGAAGTGCAAACATCCACTGCAATGAAATGCAAACATGGAAAAAGTGGAACTTCATGCACCCTGTTTCGCAAGTTCTCCAGAAACAGTATTTGTTTGTCATCATGGATTACACAACAGTTAGTTCCAACCAAGCAATATGATTGGACAAGAGGCATTCTTATACAGTATAACAGCACTGGGACTTTTAATTCTGCATGTATCACTTCACCTTAAGCGTGATTTATACTTGTGTTTTAGCTTTATGCAGAGCCTACGCCATGACTATGCTGTTGTGAGCATTTATACTTGTGCGGTGGTGTGTCTGTGTCACTCTGCAGTTACACCTCCAAAACACTAGTAGGCGGCGGAGGTTTCTCTGAGGTGGTGTAAACTTCGGTTGATTCAAAACACACATTAAACACACATTAAACATGGCTTAATAGAGACAATTTCAAACACAAGTACACAAATCAGCTTCACTATAATAGCTTCACTATAACACTTGTCTTTATCTGGACACATTTTCCCCACTAATACAACATGCTAATGTTTTTAGCACATGCCTATGGTATTTTACATTGTATAAATTAGCCTAGCAGCTAGCGGACTTTTCCTCTACTCATATGGAGCCAGGGACAACAGCAACATTTAACAAAGGTAACTTTACATAATTCAGCTCCATTACAACTCACAAGACAACTGTCTTCCAAACAAATACAACATGCTATGGTTATTAGCACAAGCCTATGGCATTTTACCTCATATAAATTAGCCTAGCAACAAGCGGAGATTTACTCTGCTTATAGAAAGCCAGCTTCCAATAATAGCCTCACCGGGAAGCACAGTTATATTTCTAAGGTGGCATACATCAAGCTATGGCGTAGGCTCTACGGCGTCAATACGATGCAGAAGTATCCTGCGTTACAGGTGTTCTGAACCCTTAATTACATTAGCCATTAATTAGCCCACAAGTTGAACATATTATTATATATATTACCACAAATAACGTTAAACGTTAAATGATAAATGGCTTTCAGAAACGGATGATGTAAAGAAGCCTGGACACTTCACTGCAAATCTCCAGGTATGCTCATATGACGGCAGAAGAAGACACAACTGGTGATTAAACTGCCAACTCATCAGCATCAAACATAAGACACAAAAGCGACTGTTAACTAACATCTTTTATTGGTCACAAAATAACTGAAAACACACAGATATAGCCTACATCCTATTAAGTGGCTGGTCAGTGGTGACAACCTACGCAGAGTACCAAGCTTGTGTGCAGTAATGTTTATGTGTTGCTTAGCAACAGTCCAGTCCCAGTCTAGTTACAGAACTATTTGTGTGGGTGGAGACAAATAAATAATTGAATAAACAAACACATTATAACCTGTTGTCGCTTTTCACTGTTAATAAAAGGCGCTTGTATAAGTGTTGTATAAAGTTATATGACAATCAAGGTTGTGCTGATGTACTGAATATTATGGTTTTCTTCATTGTGACAGTCCCTGACTTATTCTCTGTTTTGTCTCTTTAATGCAGCAGGTAGGCTACCTGGTGGGTGGAGTGATGATCAGCAGTTGGCAGCACCTGGCCTGGTGCTCTCACACTTTAAAACCACTGCCTCTTCAGCTGAAACTCTTTCCTTAGATACATTGTTTGTTGCATGCTACACACAGCACTCATGCAGACACACACTTTCACCACTAACCTTAAACACATCTCATTGTTGTCTTACTTCATTTTGGGTTTCTTTCGTTTACTGTTTTTATATTTATGTAAATAAATTACTCATTATTTTGCCTTTAGCCTGTGTCTCTCTTATTTTTGTCATGACTTCAGAGCCAGGTCGTGACATCAGGGTGAGTAATTGATATGCAAATTATCATTTGGGGGGGTTAAGTGTTTCCTTAACTCTGCTCTGAAATTAATCAGTATATATCAGTATTTTTTGCATTGTGTCAGCCATTGTCACCACAGGAAGTGATAAGTCGTTGTTTCAGTTTTACACGCCCAACTTTCCTGTTCTAGTTCTCTCTCAAGAGCTCCGATATAAACTGACTGTACCTGCCGAGTACCAAACAACGTTAGCATTTAGCTGGTGAGTAGAGCATTTAGTAAATAGAGAGACAGATATTTTCCCCTTGAGGA